TTCCATATGGAATTTCATATCTGCGCCTTCGGCTTCATCTTCTCAAAGGCTGAACAGGTGTCATATTTTACTGCGTTCACTTGCTGAAGGGGTAAGAGTTTTTTAATCTCTATGACGCTGTCACGCAGCAAATCTGCTTGACTAATAGCTCATTGATTTTGTTGTGCAGGTATATGTTGATTTAGAACATTACATGCTATTTTATAACCATTATTTGTATGTTATTAGTAGGCATACTAAAAGCTTATATGTTCATTCATGCAACATCTGGCGTACTGTTAACCCAAATGCGTGCCTATGGAGCAGATTGCGCGTCGCGGGCGGGTAGGCCAATTATAATTCCAGACATAACTAGGTATTCCCGCATTTCAGTGGCTCCCCCTGTGACTGTCCAGCATAATAATGATTGTTGGTCCTTGATGTAGGCTATTATCTATGATATTCATCAAGTGACTCATCATGTTCATAATTGATCATTGATATACTACTTATAATTACATAATTTTTACACTAGGTTTACTGATCTTAGCGCATCAGACAGTGTCATGCGTAATTGTATCTGTGGCCAGCACTGTGTCTATGAAAGCTAAACCATGACCTACACCTATTAGACAACACCCTCACTCCTCACTCAATTCTGCTCTTTCAGTCTTTGTGTTCTTTGAGTGACAGGACGTTGCTTAGTTTAATCGTTGCTTTCACTTTAGTTCTGTCAACTTCAGTATTTCAGACAGTGCCAGTGTTATACTAATATAACTGCTTTGTAATATAGTCGAACTATAAGATAATGTCTCACTGTTGCTTAGTAACAACACAAAGGGCCTTAGTCCAACATCCAGACTCTTTATCCCTTGTTGGAGTCAACAACCAGCTTTAAAACGTTCTGTTCTCTCCTCTCCCCTCTCTCTCCTCTCCCCCTCTCTCTCTTCCTCCCCCCTCTCTCTCCTCTCCTCCCTCTCCCCCCTCTCCTTCCTCCCCCTCTCTAAGCAGGCTTACACTGCATGTGTTTGTATTTCCTTGACACCCTACAGTGTCTTTGGCTACATCCCAAATACCCTATTCTCATGTAGTGCACTACTTCTGACCAGGGCCCAGTGTGCACTATATAGGGAATAGTGTGCCATTTTGGGATGCAACCATTGTGTGGTCTGAGGCCCAATGATAAGGCTGTCACCCCACAAACAGAGTATCTCGGTTGCTGGGCAGTTGCCAGCCCTGGTCAGGGGCTAACGACGTTTGGTTAATGTTTGATGTCTGTTTGTTTGCAGGTGTTGACAGAGTTGTCTTGGAGTCCCTCTATTCTTTCAATCCATCTCTCATAAACCTGATCTCCCTCCTACTACCTCATCCCTCCCTCTCTCCTCCTCAACTATCATCACTCCATCTCTTTCATTAATCCTCCATCGCTCTCCTCCTCACCCTCTCTGAGGGTTATGGAGGACCCGGAACCCCCCTCTGTGGCGGATGGTCCGTCCCTGCTCTGGCAGCCTGAAAAGAGGCGAAGCAGGAAGTCAGGATGTTCCAACATCTTCGCGGGGGTGAACCTGCGTCAGCTGAGACGGCTGTTCCAAGTGGCCGGGGATCGGGACGCAGAGCAGCGGGCAAGACTGGTGTGGGGTGGAGGAGAGCGAGACGGAGGGAGAGAGGGAGGAGAGGAGGAGAGGGAGGAGGGGGAGATGGATGCAGGGCTTGCCCGGGCATTGGTGGGGTTCAGGGTGAGAGCCAGAAGCAGGAGTGGTATCAGGATGGAGGGACACAGAGAACCCAAGTTTCTGAAAGCATTCGGACACCTCAGGTAAGAGAGAGAGAGAGAGAGAGAGAGAGGAGTGTGAGAGAGGAGTGTGAGAGAAGGAGAAAGAGGGATTGAGGGGAGAGAAAGGAGTGAGAGACAGATGGAGCGAGAGAGAGCACAGCGAGAGAAGGAAAGAGGAGACAGAGAGAGACAGAGAATGAAAGAGAGGAAACCAGGTCAAGGGTATTTGGCCTGGCATCAACAGACAGTTAGATCAAATCCTTTAACTACCTCCGCCACCTGACTAGACAGACTCTCCACATTTAACTTCCGATTAACTGACTGATCAATTAAATATCTAATCTTATTCTTTGTGATCTAAAAGGCAAAACTTGATCCTAAATCAGCACTACTACTTTGAAAGGCTTGATACATACAGGCCCTGAAGAACCCTGATAGGTGGAAGCAGGGTTGGGCCCAATTCTATGTCCATTCAGGAAGGAACTGAAATACCAGTTCCATTTGTTTCCACTGTGACTTTGTTTTAAAGACACTTCCCTCTCTCCCTCCCGATCTCTCACCTTCCCTCCCTCCTTCCCTCTCTCCCTCCTTCCAGGATTAAGGAGGGTTTGGACCACCCTGAGGAGGACGATGAAGAGGGGGACCCCAGTGATATCGGAGAGCTGGAACCCCTCCCCGGAGGGTCGACGGGTGCAGAGGGGGGCGCCCCATTGACAGATGCACTGAGGCCCTCAGAGAGACCCCATCTGGGGAGGCTGGGGGCCGCGACGAGGCAGGAGAGGACCAAGGACCCAGAACACTACCTCCATCGCGTTCTCCACTGACTCCATTCTCCAAAGCTGCTCTGTGATTGGTCCGTTTTCCATTCCCACCAATCAGAGTTAGGTGTCGTTCAATACAGAGTTGCCATGTGTGTTAAGAGTTGAATGAAGGACGTTTTCGACCACTCTGTCAACCTAACCTTCCTTGTTGAGGCGTTGTCACTGTAACCAAAGGAAGGGAGAGAACTGCAGCATCACAATGACTGCTTGAGAGCATCATCAATCCTGCTCAGTCACTGTTCACTGACTGGATCAGAGCAGACAGACTGATCTACAACACTATCGGCAGGTGACTATGGCCGTGTTCGAGAGCATCAAAACGACTGCAGGTGACTGCCGAATCTACAAACCACCTTGCATCATTATAACAACTCATTATTATTTGTAGATCAGTCAGTCAGTCAGTCACAATTTACCCATGATACATTGCGGTTTTGATCCTCTCGAAAGCGGCCTGTGTGTGGTCCAAAAATCCCAAAGGCATGGACTTCGTAGAAAAGCCAGTAACACTAGAAATTGTTCTCTATAACAAAGCTATACCTGGAAGATAGCCTACCACTAGATCTGAAAGGACTTGGAGAGGTGTAAACAACATGGTAAGACATTTACAGAGCATTAACTGGGATGATGATGATGATGATGCGTTTTGCATCATATGATGTCAAACACATGACAGTTATCACTCTGTACTGAAAGTGGTCCAACACTGGACTAATGAACAAAACTAAGATTTAGTTTGAGTGAACTATCCGTTTAACATGCAAATCTGTCAAAGTAAACTTGCATATATGTATTTGTGTGCATATGTTTGCCTGACAAATGTGAATGTCCTCACCAAATAAAGTGGGGGGAAAATAAAGTATTCTCTCTCAATAAAACACATTTATCAAGACAAACGACAAGATACATGGTATTAATGTAATACAGTTTTGTTATAATCTTTCATTAAATATATTACATACAAATTATACAGTGCATTGTCACAATACATTTCAGGTCAGTTAGAATCTGTGGCAACAGCAGGAAGTCCTGATGGTGTGTTTCTCTCACAAGTCATGAAAATAAAAATAACAACAGAAATCAAAGTAAACCGAAGCGACGGGAGACGTCTTAAATGTGTTCGACTACAGAATGGCAGAAATAAAAAGATGCATGTCTTTCCAAAACGAAGGGAAATAAGTAGTAGTTTCTCCAAACTGGGCCCCCTAAAACTCCCAATGCGCTGCAGTACCTTGCAGTTCCTCACCCGACGAGAAAGGGGGCAGTAGAGAGCCGTGAGAGCAATGAGTCAGCGTGGCTGCTGCTGTCCACAGAGTGACTGTCATAAGGAATGCAACACCACCTCTCACCCAAACAGAGAGAGAGGCTTTAAACTGCAGTGGCTGAGTTAAGTGGCTGAGTTAATTGGCTGCATCCCAAATGGCACCCTATGGGGCCCCTGGTCAAAAGTAGTGCACTATATAGGGAATAGGGTGCCATTTGGGACGTAGCCGGTGTGCAACTCCGTAGAAAGGGAGTTTACTGAGCCCATCATATACACTCCATTCTTTTTCATTGTTGTATTTGACATCCAAACAAGGCACAGTGACAAACGGAGGGAGGTTTCTGACAAACGGAGGGAGGGATATAACTCTCTTCCTTTTTCTTCAGTCCTCCTCGTCTTCCTCCAATACCGTCTGTGTCCGTTGGGGGGGGAGGAGAAGACTCCTCACTCTTATTTTGCCCTTTACACACACATGTTTGACCTACATACTACACACATACATTCAACGTACACACTCACTCACTCACTCCTCCTCCTCCTCTACCACCAGGTGAAGAAGGGTCTCCTGCTCTGGAAGCTCTGTGTGTAGGACTCACTGTTGGCTCTCTGTGGTGCTCTGGCTGTTTCTACTATGACTGGAGGCATCTGGACAAGCTGGAGGGGGGTCTTACTGTCCTTCAGAGCCTGGCTGAGGTTCAGGATCTGGGCCACCATAGGCAGGGAGAGGGGGGGGTGGAGGAATGAGAGAGAGAAAGACAGGTTAGATACTCTTGATAATGGCTGTGTTCAAGAGCATGAAATCTGTGATGCATTGTGGGTCAATTGTGACTGACTGACTGATCTACATAATAATAATGAGGAGTTATTTCCAAGTTAACTTTAATTAATAGCCCGGCATTTATTTGCTTCAATCACTGAACACAACCTGCGCTCCTTAGAGACAGGCTTCTATTTCCTTAATGCACGCAGCTTTTGCTCAATAAAATGTTGAAAAGACTACCACGCGGTTTATTGTGACCAGTATAAACAGTAGGATAACAAATCCATCGCAGGTTAGACTTGCAGAGACTAGACTGTCTACTGCACAGCGCTGATGTCATGCTTCAGCACCATTCTGTCTACTGCACAGCGCTGATGTCATGCTTCAGCACCATTCGCTCACTCATCCAGTCTCTTGTATCGGCTGTAGTTGAGCCGACCACGTCAGACCACACTGCCGTCTCATCCATGGCACGACCACGTCAGACCACACTGCCGTCTCATCCATGGCACTGATGTTGCTCTCCTTTACATTACTCACTGACGTTCACTTGTAAACAGTTAACTAGACCCGGCTTTTATCTGCTGAAATGTGTGCCGGTGTCCGGCTATTAATAAAGGGACAGTCGGCTTTTCTGAGACTCTGCGTTTAACTGAAGTTTTACGGTATGTTATTTAAAGAGGCCGTATTTAAACATACCTGTCCTCTCATAACAGCTATCTGCTTGTGGAACTGCCCCCTGTCGAAGCCTGGGTCTTTCTGCAACACACAGGTCAAGGGTCAAAAATACTCAAATAGAAACACCATCAAAGATTGGATAATCAGTCAAGTTTGAAGTTTGCTCCCTCCCTCACCTTAAACAGTTCGTATAGGTCTTCCTCCAGATCTTTGATAAAGTTGGGATCGGCCAGTTTGGGCAGAACCAGCTCTCTGATCTCCTGGGAGAACGGAACCTTGGCTTGGGACAACCACGCCCAGTAGAATGGGTCTGTGATTGGTCAAAGAATGAATACATTTTAGTTAGAAATGCAGTGATTGGTCACAGAGAAGGTGCATCTCTATAAAAGTGCTCTGTGATTGGTCAGTGGGAAAGTGCATCTCTACAAGCTGCTCTGTGATTGGTTGAGGAGGTAGAGGGCGGTGCTTACAGGCTCTCCAGGAGTCGGGGTGTTTGAGAGGGAAGGCCAGTCCGTTGTCTATAGCAGCTAGCTGGATGATAGGATCCTTCACTACTACCCAGTCTGTGTCCTGGACAGAGAGAGAGAGAGAGGAGGGGAGAGAGAGACAGAGAGAGAGAGAGAGAGAGAGAGAGAGAGACAGAGGAGGGGAGAGAGAGGAGAGGAGAGGAGAGAGTGAGGGGAGAGAGATCCCTCCCATTTCAGGAGCGAGGGAGAAACGCGGCGAGAGGAGGGAGGGAGAGAGAGTATGCGGAGAGATGATCTCCTTCTTTACCTCTTTCTCTCTTCTTTTTTCTCTCTCCCTCCTTTTTCTCCCTCTGCTCCTTTCTCGATTTGATGGGGGGAGACCGGAGAGAGCATCTTGAGTCAGACATATAAGTGCATAAGAGTACACCCCCGAGAACAGACACCCCCCCCAGAACAGACCCCCCCCCCCCCCCAGAACAGACACCGAAACAGGAACACACACATACAAGGTTTCAGTGCCTGTTCTGGTGTGTGTTTGTGTGGGTGTGTGCTTACCCTGTTCCCCTGGTCCATGGGACAGTCATATTTTAGAAGCCAGTTATCATTTCCCCGATCTGTGTAGAGGGAGAGAGGGAGAGGTTAGAGTCTAATGCACCTTCCACATCACTATTTCTTAAAGGGACATGTCACATATTCACACAGGTGTCTGTCTGCCTGCTTGTCCGTCTTGACTGCCATTTCCTTGGTTATGTACCTGTGTTCCTGATGATGTAATCGAGGACCACCAGCCTCTCAAACTGCAGTTGCATCTGTCTGTTGGTGTTCTCTGGCAGGGGGTCTGCCTCGAACCTCCGCAGCCAGAAGTCTGCATCCTTAAAGCCCTCAACGAAGATCTGGAACGAACCCAACTGGAGGACGGGAGGTGGGAGAGAGGGTGGGAGGGAGGGAGGGTGAGGGAGAGAGGGTGGGAGAGATGGTGGGAGGGAGGGAGAGAGGTTGGGAGGGAGAGAGTGGGAGGGAGAAATTCATCATACATTTACAGGAAATCATACATACAAATGGAAAGGTTTTAGAGTAAGGTCTAAACTTGAAAGCTTTCAACCGCTAAAAGTCTTTGATACACAACCAGGAAGCAGCAGACATACCTTGGGAGGCAGGCCGATCCTGTGGAAGTGTTGTCCCACTTTGGGTACCTTCTCCAGAGCCAGCCTCTTACCCCTGGACTTGACCCTGTCTATAGCGTTATAGTTAAACGTCTCACTGGACAGGTACACCACCTAATAGAGGGGGAGGGGAGGGGAGGGTGGGGAGCAGAGAGAGGGAGGATGTAGAGAGAGAGGGGGGAGGGGAGAGAGGGTGGAGCGAGAGAGAGGGAGAGGAGGTGTAGAGAGAGGGGGAGGGGAGCAGGAGGGTGGAGCGAGAGAGAGAGAGGAGGATGTAGAGAGAGAGGGGGGAGGGGCAGGGAGGGGGAGCGGAGCGAGAGAGAGAGGGATGTTTGAGAGAGAGGGGGAGAAGGGAGCAGGAGGGTGGAGCGAAGAGAGAGAGGGAGGTAGAGAGAGAGTAGGGAGAAGGGAGCAGGAGGGTGGAGCGAGAGAGAGAGAGGAGGATGTAGAGAGAGAGGGGAGAAGGGAGCAGGAGGGTGGAGCGAGAGAGAGAGAGGAGGATGTAGAGAGAGAGAGGGGAGAAGGGAGCAGGAGGGTGGAGCGAGAGAGAGAGAGGAGGATGTAGAGAGAGAGTGAAGGAAATCAAGAGAGAACCCTGACGCAGGACCTCCCAGTACCTGTGCGTGTGTGTCCCTCTGTGTGTGTGTGTGTGTGTGTGTGTGTGTGTGTCCCTCTGTGTGTGTGTGTGTGTGTTTGTGTGTGTGGTGTGTGTGTGTGTGTGTCTAACCCCTACTTTGGCCCTGGGGACTACATTTAGTTTCTGATCAACAATAATAATAATAATAATATGCCATTTAGCAGACGCTTTTATCCAAAGCGACTTACAGTCATGCGTGCATAATTTTTTTGTGTATGGGTGGTCCCGGGGATCGAACCCACTACCTTGGCGTTACAAGCGCCGTGCTCTACCAGCTGAGCTACAGAGGACCACAAGACTAGCCCCAGCTTCAGACAGATAACCCTGGTTCTCTGTGTGTGTGTGTGTGTGTGTGTGTGTGTGTGTGTGTGTGTGTGTGTATCTAACCCCTCCCTACCTTGGTCCTGGGCACTATGTTAAGCTCTAGTTTCTGGTCCACCAGACTGGCCCCAGCCTCAGACAGATAACCCTGGTTCAGGACCAGACAGTCCCGTCCAAAACAGCAAGGACAACACAGCTTCTGGAGCCACTTGGTCCACTTTGGGTTCAGCTGACCGTAAGGCTCCTCGTTCTTAGGCTTGAACACACCAATGATTTTCTACAGAGAGAGAGAGGGGAGAGAGACATTTAGGGAGACATTTTCCTCTTGCAAACTCACCTGTGCTGTGAGCAAATGTTACATTTTAAATAGATGGGATTGAGTGAAGTTATAATATGCAGAGGAGAGAGAGAGAGAGAGAGAGAGAGAGAGAGAGAGAGAGAGAGAGCGAGAAGAGAGAGAGAGAGAGAGAGAAGAGCTCGAGCACGAGAGGCGGAGAGAGAGCGACGAGGACGCAGAGAGCAGAGCAGACGAGCGAGAGCGCACGAGAATAGACGCGCGGGAGACCTCGCAGAAGAAAGAGGAGAGAGAGACGAGAGAAGGGAGAAGAGCGATTGTCTGGAGAGGACAGGCAGAAGAGAGAAGATAGATGGAAGACATGTACTGGGATTGATATAGACAAATTTCACAGGGGCATTGATAAGGCATATTTTCACGCACGCTGATTTACTACTACAGGTCTGCATGAGATTAGAAAAAGAGAAATACATATCAACACTGGCTGTTCTGTTAACTACTACCATGATTTATACTGTATCAACACTGGCTGTTCTGTTAACTACTACCATGATTTATACTGTATCAACACTGGCTGTTCTGTTAACTACTACCATGATTTATACTGTATCAACACTGGCTGTTCTGTTAACTCTACCATGTTATACTTTCAACACTGGCTGTTCTGTTAACTACTACCATGATTTATACTGTATCAACACTGGCTGTTCTGTTAACACACCATGATTTATACTGTATCACACTGGCTGTTCTGTTAACTACTACCATGATTTAATACTGTATCAACACTGGCTGTTCTGTTACTACTACCATGATTTATACCTGTATCAACACTGGCTGTTCTGTTAACTACTACCATGATTTATACTGTATCAACACTGGCTGTTCTGTTAACTACTACCATGATTTATACTGTATCAACACTGGCTGTTCTGTTAACTACTACCATGATTTATACTGTATCAACACTGGCTGTTCTGTTCAGCACCAAAGTAAAGGCCAAAGGTTAGTAGTGTTTCTGGTTTTGTCACACTGCACTTGTAAACCACTAGAAGTGGGGGTTTGACATTCCCCAAAATCATTTCACTCTTTCACTTTCATAGGCAGTGTTTCAGTTGTGATAGGTAGGCGAGGACCCAGACATTATCATTGTTATAGTTGTGATAGGTAGGCGAGGACCCAGACATTATCATTGTTTTAGTTGTGACAGGTAGGAGAGGACCCACACATTATCAAGTCATGACTCATGGTTCATCTGAGGTACTGTAGGTGAACAGGCTCCATTTTATTTTAGTCATGGTAGCATAGCCTATGTGTTTGATATGTTGGATACCATTCCATATATTCCGTTCCAGCCATTCCTTTGAGCTGTCCTCCCCAATGAAGGTTCCACCGGCCACCTGGGACATACAGACACCCGCACACATACTATAAACCCAACACTGCTTTAGATGTGGAGCGGATTAGCCTAACAGAGAGTTACCACATGACCACTGTACTGATGACTGTTATATAAGTAGAGGGGCTGAAGGCGGGAGGAGGGGTTAGACTAGAGGGAGAGGAGGGGTTAACTAGAGGGAGAGGAGGGGTTAGACAGAGGGAGAGGAGGGGTTAACTAGAGGGAGAGGAGGGGTTAGACCAGAGGGAGAGAGGGGTTAGACTAGAGGGAGAGAGGGGTTAGACTAGAGGGAGAGGAGGGGTTAGACTAGACTAGAGGGGGGTTAGACTAGAGGGAGAGGGGGTTAGCTAGAGGGAGAGGGGTTAACTAGAGGGAGAGGAGGGGTTAGACTAGAGGGAGAGGAGGGTTAGACTAGAGGGAGAGGAGGGGTATAGAGGGAGAGAGGGGTTAGACCAAGAGAGGAGGGGTTAGACAGAGGGAGGGGTTAGACTAGAGAGGAGGGGTTAGACTAGAGGAGGGTTAGACAGAGAAGGGGTTAGACTAGAGGAGAGGAGGGTTAGACTAGAGGGAGAGGAGGGGTTAGACAGAGGGAGAGGGGTTAACTAGAGGAGGGGTTAGACTAGAGGGAGGGAGTTAGACTAGAGGGAGAGGAGGGGTTAGACTAGAGGGAGAGGAGGGGTTAGACTAGAGGGAGAGGAGGGGTTAACAGAGGAGAGAGGGGTTAGACTAGAGGGAGAGGAGGGGTTAATAGAGGTGAGAGGGTTAAAGGGGAAGGAAGGGCGTTAACTAGAGGAGAGGCGGTGTATTACAGAGGCGAGAGGAGGGTTAACTAGGGGAAGGAGGTACTAGGCAGAGAGGGTAACATGAGGAGATGAGGGGTTAACTAGAGGGATGGGAGGTTAGACAGAGGAGAGGAGTTGGTTACTAGAGGAGAGGACGGTTTAACTAGACTAGAGGGTAACTAGAGGGAGAGGGTGACAGGAGGGTTTAGGACTAAGATGAGAGGAGGTTAATAGAGAGAGGTAACTAAGGGAGAGCGGGGTAACTAAGGAAGTTAGTGTTAGACTAGAGTAGACCGAAGGAGGGGTTACTGAGGGAGAGGAGGTCTAACAGAGGTATGTAGGAGGTGGTAACAGAGCTAGAGAAGGTTGACTAGAGCGGGATACAGAGCGGCTCACAGGAGGGCTAACTAGAGAGGAGGTTAACAGAGTAGGGGGGTTAGACTAGAGGAAGGAGGTCCTAGACAGAGAGGGGTTACGAGGGTAGGGGTTATCTAAGAAAGTTAGACCTAGACTAGGGAGGTTAGACTAGAGGGAGAGGAGGGGTTAACTAGAGGGAGAGGAGGGGTTAGACTAGAGGGAGAGGAGGGGTTAGACTAGAGGGAGAGGAGGGGTTAGACTAGAGGAGGGGTTAGACTAGAGGGAGAGGAGGGGTTATCTAAAGGGAGAGGAGGGGTTAGACTAGACTAGAGGGAGGTTAGACTAGAGGGAGAGGAGGGGTTAACTAGAGGGAGAGGAGGGGTTAACTAGAGGGAGAGGAGGGTTAGACTAGAGGGAGAGGAGGGGTTAGACTAGAGGAGAGGAGGTTAGACTAGAGGGAGAGGAGGGGTTATAGAGGAGAGGAGGGGTTAGACTAAGGGAGAGAGGTTAGACTAGAGGGAGAGGTGTAACTAGAGGGGAGGGGTAGACTAGAGGGAGGGGGTTAACTCAGGGAGGAGGTTAACTAGGGAGGGTTGACGAGGAGGGGTTAGACTAGAGGGAGAGGAGGGGTAAAAGGGGAAGGAGGGGTAACAAGATGAAGGAGGGCGTCTATTAAGGAGAGGCTCTTATCTAGAGGGAGGTTAACAGAGCAGGGGTTAACAGGCAGTAGGGCCACGCTAACACAGTCGCGGGGTTTGGTAACAGAAGGTTACGACAACGAGGTTTAACAGAAGACAGGAGATGACAGAGTTTAGTAAAAATAGGGGAGTGAGGGGTTAGACGAGAGACGGTGGGTATCTAAGGGAGCCGAGGGTTAGACTAACTAGGGCACAGGATCGGCTAGACAACAGGTTGACTAGGGTGAGGAGGCGCTTCTGCATGGCACAGATCCTAACAAACGTTACTGTAGGCCTCGGCTCAAGATCCCTAACAACGTTACTGTAGGCTCGGTAAGACTAAGTTATTAGCTAGGCGAGAGGTTTCATAACAGAGTAGCGGGTTAGGACAGAGGTTAACCAGAGAGGGGTTAGACCAAGAGGGTTAGAGAGGAGTAAAAGTTTATGTAGGCCGGGGGGCTAGACCAGAGGAGGTTAGACTAGGGGAGAGGAGTTAACTAGGAGAGAGGGGTTAACAGAGAAAGGGGTTAACTAGAGGATGGTACAGGAGGGTTAGACAGAGGGAGAGGTGGCTAGTTAACAGGACTGAAGGGGCCGCCCTAGACAGACGAGTATTAGCCTCGGCTTACAGACCCTAGACAGTTAGAGGCTCGCTCAGGAGATCTAACCACGACGAGGTGTATAACCAAGTCGAGGCTCGGTAGACCTAGACCAGTTACGGTTAGGGGCTCTAAACCCTAAGCACGTTACTAGGCGGTAGACCCAGAGCGTATAACATGTAGGCCTCTGTTATAGCAACGATCCTACACACGTTACTGTAGGCCTCGGCTCACAGATCCCTAACACTTTATTGTAGGCTCGGCTCACAGATCCCTAACACACTTTACGTAGCCTCGGCTCACGATCCTAACACACGTTACTGTAGCGCTCGGCTCACAGATCCCTAACACACGTTACTTAGGCCTCGGCTCACAGTTTCCCTAACACACGTTACTGTAGGCCTCGGCTCACAGATCCTAACACACGTTACTGTAGGCCTCGCTCACAGATCCCTCACACACGTTACTGTAGGCCTCGGCTCACAGATCCCTAACACACGTTACTGTAGGCCTCGGCTCACAGATCCCTAACACACGTTACTGTAGGCCTCGGCTCACAGATCCCTAACACACGTTACTGTAGGCCTCTGCTCACAGATCCCTAACACACGTTACTGTAGGCCTCGGCTCACAGATCCCTAACACACGTTACTGTAGGCCTCGGCTCACAGATCCCTAACACACGTTACTGTAGGCCTCGGCTCACAGATCCCTAACACACGTTACTGTAGGCCTCGGCTCACAGATCCCTAACACACGTTACTGTAGGCCTCGGCTCACAGATCCCTAACACACGTTATTGTAGGACTAGAAAGTCCTGGCCTCGGCTCACAGTATCAACAACGTCCTGTGTTTATAAGTGCGGATATCGACTGCCACAGGAGCATGCTTCGTGGCAGAGCAGATTTATGCACTTATAAAGACAGCGTCGCTACAATACTATAGGCAGACCTGGCTGAATACCGGTAGCCAATGGGCTTGTTTGGAATTACACATACAGGAAGTGAAATCTGGTGGATTCCCCCACACGTCAGGACTTCCAAAGTCCACAGTGACACTTCCATTTTTAACCAACAAATGTGACCGCATCGTGGAGTTTCAGATGATAGTAATTGTTGGGTAAGTTGTTACTAGTCCTGGTCCTATGTCTGTGCACCAAGTCACCATATAGTTTGCTTCTCCCTCTTGTTTCTATCCAAAATATTAGATTTTGGTTAGAATTATCTTGACTAGAGCTCAATCAAATAGAAAGAGCACTATTTTCCATCCCAACAAAACCTCGTGACGATTCATCATTATCACCAAGAGTGTGTGGGTGAATACAACCACATGATTTCAGCGCAACAATGACTGATTGCCGATGCAGACGGATTGACTGTGCTGCGTGGAGCTGCGTGTGTGAGTGTACGTGTGTGTTAGGGCTCTGGTCAAAAGTAGTGCACTATATAGGGAATAGGGTGCCATTTGGGACGCACCCTTGGATCGCACAACATGGGGCATCCATGTTGTCAGATCCACCTATCTGTGAGCGTCCCTGCGTTACACACACACCATAGTCTATCTGTGAGTGTCCCTGCGTTACACACACACCATAGTCTATCTGTGATTGTGTCCCTGCGTTACACACACACCATAGTCTATCTGTGAGTCAAGGCCAACACGTGAGAGTGAGCAGAGGGCACTAGGCTCCTCAGCTGGTGTTGCTACTGTGAGTTTCCACAGTGACATGGCTTTTCCAGATAAGAGATGGCTAGACTGTAACAGGGCCGACGCTACTGTACTGAAGTATGGGCAATAAAAACAAAACTAGACCATATTGGAGAGAATAAACAGTACAATGGAGGTTGAAGTAAGGCACCTGTTTCCCCAGGCGGTTTCTCTGGTGGGAGGATATATTTACAAGTCATACTGAAGGAAATAAACCAGAGGCCTTGTCCACTTTTAGACTACATAGTGAGATGTGATGAATTTACAGGCAATAGTGTAGCCTTCTGGTCAATAATAATCAGACGCACTAAACATCATTATTCAAGGATGATAACTAATAGACTTGTCAATCTAATTGTTGTCATTCATAAATAATAAAATAAAGGGTTGTGCTTATCTTTGACATATGCTAGCTAAATATGACGACATGCAATCCATAGTTGTTTAGGTGAGTTAGCTAAATCGATCGTGATCTCCTTTTTAATGCTTTTCACTCTTTCTTACCCCTTGTGAATCTTTGACAAAGTAGCTGCCGCTGGATCCCTGGTAAATTCTTTCCGGATAAATCCCTTCCTCGATGGCGCGTTCCGCCTTGCGGATGATCTCTCGAAACTCGGGATCCTCCGGGAAGTCGTTTCTGTGCGGATCCCGCGGTGAACCTCCTCGGTCCCGGTCCAACAACGGCTGTCTCTCCCGGCTGCGCTCCGGACTCCCGGGCGGGATGCGAACCACCGAGCCCGGCGTGCCTCCAAATCCGCCCCGGGGACTGGTGGGCTCGGTGGGGCAGTAGCCGAAGTCGTTGGAGTCCCGTAGCGGGGAGACCAACGGACTAGTCTCGTCCATACCGGGGAGCGCGGAGGAAAGGTAGCTAGAGAGAAAAGGGGGAAAGACGACGGGATGTGATTTTGTGTTCAGTATATTTACGGATAATGTAACGTCACCTTTGTCAATAAAAACAAATCAGCTGACTGTCAGCTTCCGGGAAGAGGCGGTCCCAGTAGGTGATTGCTGGAGTGTTTGGCCAATCAGAGATATCATCCGGCCGTCAAGGATCTTTGTGCACGCAACTATTGGCTGGAATCATACCGCCCCCTTAGAGCATGTGACAAAAAAGTGCCACACAATTTAAATACAGGACAACGAATCAACTAAATCAGTGGTTTTCAAACTTTTTCAGCAGGGACCCCGTTTTTTCCCAAATAATTTCTGTGGACCCCATTTTTTCCCAAGAATTTCTCGCCACACCACCCCAAATCTAATGACACAACTTTAATATCTGTAAATTTCGATTTTTACATAAATTAATTGCATTCTACTTTCAATTCATTGCATTTTACCTACAATCGAGTGGCGCAGCGGTCTAAGGCACTGCATCTCAGTGCTTGAGGCGTCACTTCAGACCCCCTGGTTCGATTCAAGGCTGTATCACAAGCCGGCCGTGATTGGGAGTCCCATAGGGCGGCGCACAATTGGCCCAGCGTCGTCCGGGTTTGGCCGGTGTAGGCCGTCATTGTAAATAAGACTTTGTTCTTAACTGACTTGCCTAGTTAAAGGTAAAATAAAAAATCCATTGCGTTTTCATCTCTTATCGAATAAACTATAAAAGTCTATTTTTCAATGTATCTTTCTCAAAAACGTTTGTATATTGGCCTATACAATTATCTGTACTCTTAATGTTTTGTAAAAATAAAAAATAAAAAATACTAAAACATTTTTTTTTTAACATTTTGACTATCACACTGCAGTTCCCCCGCGACACGGTTGGGAGTCGCGACCTCGACTTTGAATATCACTGTTCTAAATGACGGCTTTTGATAGCACTGAAAATAGGTACAGTATGAATAACATACAGTTGTCAATAGCCTACTATCAGTCAAGAAAGATGACTGCTACACGGTTCACTTAATGCAAAAATGCGTATAGCCCTATAGTAAGCCAACTATAGGTAGTCATTCTGTAGAGGTGAGATGTTTAGATTGTGTGCAAGCAGCATGTAGCCTGGCCATAGTAGTGCCCTAGGCTATAGATTTTGTAGAGGGGCTGAAGATCAATGGAATAGTGGGAAATTATGACGAACTGAATGAATTTCCCGAGGGAGAACAATTTGAATGTAATTTCTTATTTAACCAGGAAGTTGAGATATAATAAAACAGTGTCTCGTTTGTCTCAGATAGGCCTTGTGTCAGAAATGATGATAACATGAAATACCCGATATTGCATTATATCTTCATACATCCCAAACTCAGTTATATGACCAACGTTAGCCTACTATTCAGTGAAGGACATAGGCCACCTTTTGGAAGTGACCTCAGCTATGCATTGTCAATATTTATCTTTCATACTTAGCATATAGGCTATTGTGTAACTTGATATGCCCCCATAAGGTGAAGGAGCTCCTCACAATGACAACGAATGCCGCTTCAACCCGCGGATGCGTTACCAGGGGAACGAACCATCATTAACACAGTCACTGTGGGTGGCCGCCTGGCCGGCCAGTGTTTTGGGTTGGTGACTAGGCTATGGGTGCGTCCCATCTCCTTTCTCCTGAAGTCTGCACTCTTGCACTCTCACTACTTCCCACAAATCTAAAAGCACTGGATTGGTGGAGGCTTTGGATAGAGGGAGAGTTTCTGTAAGTATTCATTAAAGGACTGTATGGGTATAGGCTAAATAATACCAACAGTATATTTCTTAGTCATTTCCTTTCAAATCAGTGAAGGGAAGTGAACAAGTGCACACTTTGGGAGGAAGGAGAGATAAACAGGGCCGCTTGGTTGGGTGAGGGGGCGGGGACGTCCCCATGCATGCCCGGTCTAGCTGGCTTGTTGTAGCAACCACGGTTGCCACGGGGAAGGGGCTGAATGAAACATCCCTGCTTTGATGGGAGGATGGAGACCCATAACATCCATCATCATCACACAGGTGAGACCTGGGAACATTTTTGGCACAGTTTTACGCAAATAGTGTATCTTGATAGTATGGATATTGTGTAGACTTAGGTATGTTCGCTGGTTATAATTTTACGCATGATTGTAGTTTTACGCATGCATTTTACGCATGACGTTTAACAGAATTGAGGCACAACTTAATTACTTCTAAATAAGCATAATTCGTTGCTGTTGTTTTATGATAGAATAGGCTACGAGGAATGGAGACATTCAATGTACTTGGGAATGAAATCTCTCCGGGAGACGCGCTACCGGGGCCGTCACACAACGAGATCGTTTGGAGCTTGTCACCTTCACCGGACAACGGACCATCACCTGTCTCCGAGCTCTCCTTCAGCCTAAGGAACCTCCGATGCCACGACGGCGCGTGAGTACACACACAAGCTATAGAAAGCTGTGTGTCGGCTAGGAGATGGGGAATAATAGAAGTAAGACAATGTGGGCACTTTGGGACCTTGTGCGCAGCAGAGCGACTGGAGACTATCAAGTCCAGTTGTAATATAGTTGAACATATTTTGATCTTTGTTAGTAAAAAAAAATAAACGTCCATTTCATACTCCACAGCGACACCCCGCGCAGAAAGCTGCGACTGACGCCGGAGCTAGTGACTCCCAGTCACCCGGGACCCACGCCGAGTTCAACGTGGGGCAGAGGGCTTGCCCCCCCGGGAGAGGGGACGCCGACAGGTCTGGGCAAGCTCTGCGTCTGGATGACTGATGGGGAAATAGCCTAATGAATGATTAGCGGGTTCCTCACGGCTTGATGACGCTGGGTAGAGTTAGAATACATCAGAGACAGAACTCAACTATTGGTTCCATCCCAAATGGAACACTGTTCACGACATAGTGCACTACTTTTGACTAGAGCCCAATATAGGTCCTGGTCAAAGGTAGTGCACTATATAGGGAATAGGGTGCAATTTGGGACATAAACATTGAGATTTAAATCCAGTTTGTCCAGAATTAAAATCTCAGTTTGTATATCACTTTTCAGGTTGTGAATCATTTACATGTGTAGCTTCCCTTTTGATAAATAAATTACTCTAAAACATTTTAAGTCAGATTTTTTTCACAATATTCTGTCTATGTAGGTAACATCCTGACAGAATCCGGGAACAGGAGAAGGGGAGAGAGGTGAGGACACATGGATTCTATAAGCAACAATTGCATAAGGTGAATGTACCAATTTGTAAGTCGCTCTGGATAAGAGCGTCTTGTAAATGACGAAAATGTAAATGTAATTGCTAAGTTATTATTAGGTGCCTACAAATCACAGGCGTCTGGTGGCACCTTAATTGGGGAGGACAGCTCATAGTAATGGCTGGAACTTTCCAGGTGTTTGATACCATTCCATTGATGCCATTCCAGCCATTATTATGAGCTGTCCTCCCCTCAGCAGCCTCCTGTCTGCGGTCTGAATTACATTTTCAATCATTGTTTTACCATTTACTTTATAGGTTTCTCTCCCCTGCACGTTCTGCTCCTAAAATGGTGAGTATTTACAATGAAACTGAGGGAATAACACTGGCACTGGAATTGGAACAGAGTGACCTGACTGGAAAAACTCTGTGCTCTAACTATATTCAATAACATCATCATGTGATGTTCTGGTTCTGGTTGTCCAGAAGCGTCTGCGTGTGAAGCTGTCGTCCCGGTTCTGCAGCGCTGTAGTTCAGAGGTCAGACCCAGGGGTCAGGGGTCTCAGGTGTCAAGGTCAAAGGTCACCGCCAGGAGATGGAGCCTTGCGTGTCCATCAGGGTGACGTGGAGCTGCCAGATGTTGAGGTGAGATCCATTTGCAGTGTTCCAATTTTCTACACTGCTCTCTGAAGTGTGCACCACCATATTTCTTACATCAAGGGGAGGGAACAAGTGCACACTTCGGGGAGGGGGATAGAGAATGATAAACATAGGATCCCCCTGTAAACCTGGGGCCCATTTGTGTCATATTAGTTTAATGAAGCCTGGTTAAAGTGGCGCAGTGGTCTAAGGCACTGCATCGCAGTGCTAGCTGTGCCACTAGAGATCCTGGTTCGAATCCAGGCTCTGTCGTAGCCGGCCGCGACCGGGAGACCCATGGGGCGGCGCACAATTGGTCCAGGGTAGGGGAGGGAATGGCCGGCGGGGATGTAGCTCAGTTGGTAGAGCATGGCGTTTGCAACGCCAGGGTTGTGGGTTCGATTCCCACGGGGGGTATGATAATGTATGCACTCACTAACTGTAAGTCGCTCTGGATAAGAGCGTCTGCTAAATTGACTAAAATGTAAATGTTAAAAACAATGTATCCCATCAGGCATTGCTCTCTGTACGGCGGTTCAAGTCCAGGAGAAGGCCATTCCCTCCCAGTAGCCTCCTGGGTTCTACTATGGAGGACCACACCCTGACAGGAGACTACAGCAAGGTGTGCAACCTTACATCAACATATTTTTTTGCCAGCTGGGTGGTAGTAGGCTAGGACAAGCCCTTGATTGGTTGAATCGGGTGTGTTAGTGCTGCGCTAGAACAATATGTTCATTGTGTGTGTGTGTGTGTGTGTGTGTATGGGTGTGTGTGTGTGTCCACAGCCACTTCTGTTACCAGTGGAGAGAGTGGACCACCAGGATCTTCACTGCATCTCAGCCCAAACAGTAAGTCCCCTCCTTTCCTTCATCTCTCCTTCCTTCCTTCCCTCCTTTCCTTGCTCCTCCACTCCCACTCTCTATATTCACCTTTATTCTCTCTATCATAAAGATATCCACAGCACATACATATGTGGGACTACAACACTGGATACTGGACTTCAGTGCTACTATAGCAACATTCCTGTTAGCGATGGTATCTAGAGGGTAATCTCCTACTAGTACTGTAGCCAGTTTGGTAAGCTACTGTTGTTACCATTGCTGTGGTGAACTGGAGGTGCATTTCTCCTGATGGCCTGCAGGTGGCGTCTCTGCTAAGAGGACAGTACAGTGGTGCAGTGGAACACTTCCTCATCATAGACTGTCGCTACCCTTACGAGTACCACGGTGGACACATCAAGGTGATAACGTTTTTTGAGTAAACCAAATAGAGAAATAAACCAAAACCTCAAGCATAATATTGATTACATTTATTTTATATACATAACAAGTTAACGACTGACCCGTCTGATCATTTATTACCTATTATATAGGCCTACTCATCTGTCCTCTACATATATATTTATGTTGTTCTCCATGTGTCCCATAGGGGGCAGACAACCTCCACACCGAGGCTCAGATCCAGGGGGCTTTACTCCAGCTCCCTGCCCTCTACCAGCTCTCCTCCTGGGGCAGAGCTCCCACCAGCCCCCCTGGACAGGCTCCAGATACAGGCGTGAGTGGTAGTTCCATGGGTGGAGTGTTACAGAGGTTCGGCTCACAGTCACATTCACCCGGAAGTGGTACCACGCCACCGGGACAGGGGTCACCCTTGGAGGGGTCGTCGCCTCGGAAACTGATCGTGTTCCACTGCGAGTTCTCGTCAGAGAGGGGCCCGCGGCTGTAAGAGAAAAACACACACACTCGTCGGCACATAGGCTGCACACACACACACACAAACAGAGAAACACACACACATTCACACACACACGCGCCACACGCACCCCCTCACCCCACAAACATACACAACTTCCTGATCCTGATCCTGGCTGTTCCCACCGTTCCCCTGTAGATGTCATTACCTGAGAGAGCTGGACAGAGCGCTCCATGCCTCCCTCTACCCTCTGCTCTTCTACCCTGAGCTCTACCTGCTGGAGGGGGGCTACAGATACTTCTACTCCTGCTACCCGGTACGGTTCCTATGTACATCATTGTTGCGAATTCGGTGGTAGCTCTGATCGCTGTTACTATAACGACTTAACCAGCGTTACGCCAAGAGTGTTGTCCAGTCGCTACAATATGAGATTTAATAGGACAGTTTCTTCATAATCAATGTACACTTCCTACTTATAATAGTATAGCACATTTTTTGGGGGAGTGATAGTTACGACTGGGACTTGAACCTGGATCCCTGTCACTCCAACAGCTTAGCTATTGACAAGGTTGCTAAAATCGCTACGATATGAACTAAAACAGTGTCTTCTTCATATTCAATGTCTCAGAGTAGTGAATCACAAACTGTCTTTTAAGCGTTTCTAATTTTCCCTTGACCCTCTGAGTAAACCAGAGAACTGTTTCTAGTTACAACACAGAGTGTTGTTGACACAACCCTGAAGGTCTCAGCCATGACCCCAACCCCCATGATTTAGACGTTAGGGGGTTATTAGACTATTACTGAGTCCACATTTTCTTCTATACAGCCTATTCATAAACACTTTCAATGCATTTTCCCTCTGTTCCTCTGTCTGCCTGCCTGCCTGCCTGTCTGTCTGTCTGTCTGTCTGCCTGCCTGCCTGCCTGCCTGTAAGTATTTCTGTCTGTCTGCCTGCCTGTAAGTCTTTCTATCTGTCTGCCTGTCTGTCTGTCTATCTATCTGCCTTTCTAGGATCTGTGTGAGCCGCGTGGCTATGTTCCCATGCTCCACAGCGAGTACAGAGAGCAGCTGGGACGATTCAGACGGAAGACCAAGTCAAGACTCCACAAGAGACCGCCGCTCTACAAGACTCACTGACTTGCTTGCATACCAACCTTCTACGGTCCCCTTTACACAATGGTGACTGATACCCTTACAGTCTGCTGTCAGATTGGTCTCAGGGAGTCGTCTAACAATAACCCCCTGATGCATATCTCTTTTGAAATGAGTTATCAATAAAGTTGTTTCAATACAAAAATAATGTGTCATTATCATGACCTTTTATATTGTGACATAATAAACTTCCTTTTTCATGCAAGGGACAGCGAGAGGAAGATATGGCAGCATATGAGTAGCCTATAATACATGTAAAAACAAGCAAAGTAATAATATGCTACCCATAAAGTATATCAATACTAAGCATACACTAAACATAGGCCTAAAATTGTTATTACAAGCCAACGGCATCACTGTGATACGAAGGTCGCCTAGGCTACTGTGTTTTTTTATCCACTGAGCATCACTGGCTGACGTGCACCACCGCGCGTTCGCTTCCTCAGCGCCGCACACGAGATGGTTTCTGATTGGTCTAGCGCCGCAGGAAGTCTGTCGGCATTATACAGAAGGAGCTTTCAAGTTCACAACAGAACAACCAGCCTAGGTAACTTCTCGAACCGAATCCTCATTTCATATCAGCCACGACACTACTGCGGGTCTTTTCTCCGCATTTGACAAGAAGATTTTTGCTCTTAAATTCCCGAAAATACAGCGGAGGTCGATTCAAACATCACGGAGTCGGGATGGCTGCGTACAAGTTGGTTCTGATCCGTCATGGAGAGAGCTCCTGGAACCAGGAGAACCGCTTCTGCGGATGGTTCGACGCGGACCTCAGTGAAACCGGGGAGCAGGAGGCGAAGAGAGGAGGACAGGCGCTAAAAGGTGACCCGGTCAATAATGTTACACAGTATAATGTCTCTCTCGCTCTCTCCTTTTCTCTCTGTCTCTCTCTCATAGGATTAAGACAGGGCATGGAGGGCCATGGAGAGTTTTGCTAACAGATAGTAGGTCAGTCTATTCCGTTACGCAAGGCGCGGCTTGAGGAAACAGGTAGTTGTGTCACTGCGGCATTATCTTAACCATCACTTGAAGGAGTTGCCCGGTGGCATAATGTCAACTGTTATCAGCCACTACAGCCTGAGAGCATTTATGTTCTCTGTGTAGTGTAGCTGAGGTTGTGTTAGCCGTTTAGCCTAACATGGGTAGCCTAAAGCAACTTGGCCCAAAAAAAGGAAATAAGGGTGCATCTCAATAGTCTAAAGTGGACTCCTCCTCTCCTTGTCTCCTTTCCTTCACCTGCATAAGTAATATGGTGGTGGTGGATGCCTGCCAGCTATTTCCTGTCACCTGTCTAAATCTTTCACCTCAGTGCAGATGAAGGAAAGGAGACAAGGAGATGAGGAAACCACTTGAGACTATTGAGATGCACCCCCAACTAAAGCATGCTCTGCCAGGACCATATGTGTCCATCATGGCTAGTCGGCTACATGCCAAAAGGAGGTGTGCTTTATGACTACCTCTCATTGGTTCAACACAACCTATCCATGTAAGACTATGACCGCCTGTATGTATTCATATATACAGAATCAACTCAATCACTACCAATCTGCCACAACTAGCACTGTCCCAGGCTACATAAACTAACAGTGGACTAGTGGCCTGCTATTCTGGTCCATCTCTAGACCAATATACAGAGGATCTGACCATGTATGTGTCACCTGCTGTAAGGTCCTATTTAAATGCTCTGTATAGTTGCTTTCTGGCATAGATCTGGGGTAGCACATCTCATTGAGTGAGATTCTCTGTGTCCTCTGAAACTGTCCCCAAGCCTCTCCACACACTTCATGAACACTTCAGGCTATGCTGCTGCTCTCATCAAATCTGGCTCTGACACTACAAACACCCGTACTCACTCACTCAATCATGCCAACCCACACACACTCTGTCTAACCCCACCTCTCTCTCTAACCCCACCTCTCTCTCTAACCCCCCTCTCTCTCTAACCCCCCTCTCTCTCTAACCCCTCCTCTCTCTCTAACCCCTCCTCTCTCTCTAACCCCTCCTCTCTCTCTAACCCCTCCTCTCTCTCTAACCCTACTCTCTCTCTAACCCCCTCTCTCTCTCTAACCCCTCCCTCCTCTCTCTAACCCCTCCTCTCTCTCTAACCCTACCTCTCTCTACTCTTAACCCCTCACCCATCCTCTCTCTCTAAACCCCACCTCTCTCTCTAACCCCCCTCACCCCCTCTCTCTCTAACCCCTCTCTCTCTCTCTAACCCTACCTCTCTTCTAACTCCCACCCTCCTCTCTCTCTAACCCCGCTCTCTCTCTAACCCCTACTCTCTCTCTAACCCCTCTCTCTCTCTCTAACCCCCTCCTCTCTCTAACCCTACCTCCTCACCCTCTCTCTCTCGAACCCCCTCCTCTCTCCTAAACCCCCCCTCTCTCTCTAACCCCTCTCTCTCTCTAACCCCTCCTCCCTCTAACCTACTCCTCTCTCTCTAACCCCTACTCTCTCTCTCTAACCCCACCTCTCTCTGTAACCCCTCCGCTCTCTAACCCCTCCCTCTCTCTAACCCCTCCTCTTCTCTCTAACCCCTCCTCTCTCTCACTCTCTACCCCTCCTCTCTCTCTACCCTCCTCGCGCTCGCTACCCCTCCCTCTCTTCTCCTAACCCCCTCCGCTAACCCCTCCTCGCTCCTCTACCCCCCTCTCTCTAACCCCTCCTCTCTCTCTAACCCTACTCTCTCTCTCTCTAACCCTACTCTCTCTCTTCTCCTCAGATGCTGGCTATGAGTTTGACGTGTGCTACACCTCGGTCCTGAAGAGAGCCATCCGGACTCTGTGGTTGGTCCTGGACGGGATCGACCAGATGTGGCTTCCTATCCACCGCACCTGGCGCCTCAACGAGCGCCACTACGGAGGCCTGACGGGGCTCAACAAGGCAGAGACGGCGGAGAAGCATGGCGAGGCCCAGGTGAAGATCTGGAGGAGGAGCTACGACACCCCGCCCCCTCCCATGGAGGAGGAGCACGACTTCTACAACAACATCAGCCAGGTGAGAGGGATGCGGGGACACACACACACACACACACACACACACACACACACACACAGAGGTACACACATAGAAGAGCACATGCAGAGGCCCACACAGGCACGGACACACAGAGACACGCACATAGAGGCGTACACACACACCTACAACATCACTGAACTCATATTCTGTGATTAGACACCATGGAGTCAGCCATACTGACCTGGGCTACCAGGCTTTGACTTTGCAGCACTAACCATCTCTTTCCTGCAGGACCGTCGCTATGGCGACCTGACGGAGGACCAGCTGCCGTCCTGTGAGAGCCTGAAGGACACAATTGCCCGGGCACTGCCATTCTGGAACAACGACATCGTGCCCCAGATCAAGGACGGGAAGAGGGTTCTCATCGCCGCCCACGGCAACAGTCTCAGAGGCATCGTCAAGCACCTGGAGGGTAGGTCACTAGGGGCAGGAGGGAGGGAGGACTGTTTGGTTGCTCTTATATGTTACTGGTTGTTGACTGATATTGTTGTTTTTCTGATTGTTGTTGTTGACTTGTTGTTGTTCTTGTTCTTGTTATTTACCTCCAGGTATGTCAGAGGAGGCTGTCATGGAGTTGAACCTTCCTAGTGTGTAGTTGTATATGTTACTGATTATTAACTGATTATTGTTGTTGTTGTTGACCTCCAGGTATGTCGGAGGAGGCCATCATGGAGCTCAACCTGCCTACAGGGATCCCCATCCTGTATGAACTGGACAAGAACCTGAAGCCTGTAGGGCCCATGCAGTTCCTGGGAGACGAGGAGACTGTCAAGAAGGCCATGGAGGCTGTGGCTGCCCAGGGCAAGGCCAAGAAATAGACACAGTGCCCCCGCGTGGACAGGAGGCATCGGTGCGGCTAGTCAATCACTCACGCAGCGTGACATTACATTATCAAGTTTACATTTACACGCAGACAGATATGCATATTTATATATATATATATATATATATATATATATATATACACACACACACATAGGACACACACACTCACACACGTCTCATTACACTATAGGTGGATTTGATAGGTATTTTCTTTCCTGCACATTGAGACATTATCAGTATTGCACAGTCAATAGGCATCAGTAGGACTGGATTGTACGGCTCATCATAATATGAGTTGATCAAGATCGTTTGAGTTGACCAAAAACACACAGAATAGGGACCAGCTAATAGGGTATTTACAGTATCCAAAAACACACCGAATAGGGACTAGCTAATAGGGTATTTACAGTGTCCAAAAACACACAGAATAGGGACCAGCTAATAGGGTATTTACAGTATCCAAAAACACACAGAATAGGGACCAGCTAATAGGGTATTTACAGTGTCCAAAAACACACAGAATAGGGACCATCTAATAGGGTATTTATCTAAATGGGAAAATGATAGAAAGTGTGCTTTCTAGTGCCATGTAGTTTTGCACTGAGTGAACATGTATGTAAACATTGACGGGCACGTTTGAAAAAGGAAACATTGAATCTCATTGTTATTGTTGTAGCTCTACGGCAACAGTAGGCTATCATGGTTATGGTGGCTATTGTTAAAAAGGGCAGGCAGACCTGTTCTGTACTGTACTGCTGACCATAGAATTAGAATTTGTAGAACGGGCGTCCTCATTCAGGAGAGGTTCTATACCTCCTCTACTCATTCTAATTCCATGCTGCTGACTTGTGCTTAGTGTTCTGTGTGAAATAAATAAAGATTCATCTTATTATTTATGAGCTATCAAATGACTGTGACCCTTGTATGTTTCACAAGCTGCACATTTCTTGACTTGGCGTAGTTGAGCTGATAACATGTATGCTGGACTATTGAGCAATTTAGTGCTGGACTTGAACTTATATAGGTGCCGGTACTGTTTATATTTAGGTGCAGGAGCTCCACAATACTTTTGTACTAATATTATAATATGCCATTTAGCAGACGCTTTTATCCAAAGCGACTTACAGTCATGCGTGCATAATTTTTTTGTGTATGGGTGGTCCCGGGGATCGAACCAACTACCTTGGTGTTATAAGCGCCGTGCTCTACCAGCTGAGCTACAGAGGACTTATATTCTATAAGAGGTTCAGGAGCTCAGGCAGTAGAAAAATGTATCTGCCAGTACTCCACTCCGGTGAGCTCCCTCCCAAGTCAAGCTCTGGAGCAATTACAATAAATGTGTGCCCTGCAGCTGTCCTCTATCCTCTGGCTTGTTAGTGTCTTTGTCTTAAATGTCCTGCTGCACTATTTTCTAATTTACTCTAAAACAAATCAATTTCCATGGATGATACTGGATACATCTCGTTCTTTATTCCCCTCCTGCACTAATCTTACATGAGCTTTCTAATTAGTGTAGCCAGAGTGTAGGTAAAGGAACGGAGAGAAGGCCGCTTTAGACTTGATTCACCCAGAACCAGGACAGTGATTTCATCATGAAAGCCACAACAAAGATGGCGGACCAAACTTTTCGTTAAATACATCCGCCTGCTTAAGTCACGTCACAGCCAATCGGCTTGTGCTCTGCTCTTCTTGAAAACATGTCGCCCATGAAGCTGTGTGTTCCAGGCGAGTCTGAGATTTCAAACTGAGTTGATAACGGCATTATTTTCACATTTGAGACCATTAGACAAATATGTTAGGCAGTATGTTTTAGAAGTTTGTGTTGCTATTTGTAGCTTTCTAACACGGGAAAATGCGTGTTGTGTCACCACCATGCTCGTTCGCGTTCTAGCCTAGCTAGGTAATGCTAACTAGCGCGTTGCTAGCTAGCCTACATACTGTATTTTACTGTTTTCTAGCGAGCTACCTATTCTAGTGTATTTCTTCGACATTATGTGAAATACAAACGCAATACATAGTCACTTGGTACAACGCGTGACATTGTTTATAGTTTAACTAGCTATTTCGTTTGCTAAGTAATGAGCTTGTGAGATTTAGCTAGCGATGTTGACTTTGAGGTACTTTTCAAGCCCATCAACTTGTTTAAAGTGCCCTGCCCACCGCCTCGGGGAGGAGTGAACAGGGAGCACACTAATTCCAATCATACCTTCTCTGTCTTGTTGCGATCGACTGCTTACATGCAAGTGTTGAATTAACCCAGGATATTTCTCATGTCGACTAAATGTCAACGAATTGTAAACTATAATGGCAGTGTTTTGTTTTGATTGTCGTTTGATATACACATCTGTTTGTCAGGAAGTGGGACGAGACACTTGAGTGATTTAGCGATTGTTGATTTCTCAAATGACATGATTTTGGCAGACTGTGATTATATTCTACTATTGGAAATGTGATAGATCAGCTACACTATACGTGTCTGTGTCTCTCTACCCGTGTGTCCCCCTCTCTCTATGAATGTGTGTGTGTCTTGCTATGCCTCTGTGTGTGTGTGTCTTTTTCTCTATGCCGGCGTGTGTGTGTCAGTCTCCCTGTGTGTGTTTACTTGCAATGACAGTGGTTGTCTTACCTACCTTAGTTGAAGCACTGACTGTAAGTGTCTCTGGATATATGCGAAAAGTAAAAATGTTTCTCTGTGTGTGTGTGTATGCATCTCTCTCTCCCTGTGTGTGTGCAGGTGATAGGCTATGCAGCACAGAGGACTGTATGCCTGGTACTGGGGTGTACCTACGACACGGCTACATCTACTCCTCGCTAGCAGGCTACGTACTCAGGAAGAACGAAGGAGAGGAGGTGAGACGGACGGACAGACTGGGGGAGGGGGGTGTGGTTGTCAGAGTATTACGGTGTATTCATTAGTCGCAGAACATAAAACATTTTGTCTCTTGCTAAATATTTACTTAAAAACCTTTTGCAACAAAAACAATTTTCTATTGGACAAATTCACGTAGTTTCCTCCCCGTTTCATTCCGGTTGTTTCCTAGAGTAAACACTAAACAGCCAAACATTTTGCTACAGTCTGCCACTATTGAACACACCCCTGTTGCACTGGTCTTTTAAGCACTAACAACACTTTAGCTGCTTTATTGAGGAGGGTTTTATTTCCTGTGATATGTGGTTGTGTTACATTTTGCAAAACCTTTTTTTTTGCATTTTAGTCATTTAGCAGACACTCTTATCCAGAGCGATTTACAGTAGTGAGTGCATACGTTTTCAGGCCTGTGTAGCTCAGTTGGTAAACCATGGCGCTTGTAACGCCAGGGTTGTGGGTTCGTTTCCCATGGGGGGCCAGTATGAAAATGTATGCACTCACTAACTGTAAGTCGCTCTGGATAAGAGCGTCTGCTAAAATGACAAAAAATGTAAAAACTCATGGGAATCGAACCCACAACCCTAGCGTTGCAAGCGCCATGCTCTACCAACTGAGCTGCACGGGATCACCTACCTTAGTTGAAAAAACAGACTGGAAGTTTGCTCTGGATAAGAGCGTCTGCTTCGAAGTGATGATGAGAGGAGGGGGGGGTAAGAGGGGAGTGGCTGGTTTATTGGCACGGGGGAAAGCAGTTGGGGCTGGGTTGGGTGTGGGACTCATGTTAGTGGTTATTTATGGCGTAACATTTTCTGGAAGTAGGGAAACCACTCCAGGTTTGTTCACTTGGAACCCCTGAGGAATTATACAGTGTTGCGGTAACGAAATGTAACATGTTCACACAGTAATCCTTCCTTCTCTTTATATTGACACTTAAATCTGTGTGTGTGTTTCCCTGCAGCTACCAGTCATCTCTGTGGTAAGAGAAACAGAGGCCCAGCTACTGCCAGATGTAGGAGCCATAGTCACCTGTAAGGTAAGGTTTGGAGAGCACTTGATGTCAACAACCGACGTGTGTGTGCATGTCACCATTTTTTCTATGCACTGGTAGTTGTTGTAGATCTACGTAATGCTTAAAAGCTGTGCATATCACCTGGATTAAACTGAACAGAATAATGTTTTAGGCTTGAAAGGTGAGGTGCTCTTGTCACTGATCCAATATCTCAACAATAGGTGTGTGTTTAACCTCACTGCTAACAGCCCAGATCTGTCTCCCTACCTGTCCAGGTGACCAGTATCAACCCCAGGTTTGCCAAGGTCCACATCCTCTACGTTGGTTCCACGCCACTGAAGGACCGCTTTAGAGGAACCATCAGGTAACATGGATGATTTTATTACTGTTATTCTCATTGTGTGTCCCAACTGGCACCCTAGTCCCTATTTAGTGCACCACTTTTGTCTGGGGTCCAAATGGCAACCTATGGGCCCTGGTCACAAGTAGTATACTTTATAGTGAATAGGATGCCATATGGGATTATATAGATTTACATTTTAGTCATTTAGCAGACGCTCTTATCCAAAGCGATTTACAGTTAGTGAGTGAATACATTTTCATACTGGCCCCCCGTGGGAAACGAACCCACAACCCTGGCGTTGCAAGCGCCATGCTCTACCAACTGAGCTACACGGGGCATAGGGCATAGGATGCTATTTGGGATTATATAGGGAATATGGTGCCATTTGGGATTATATAAGGAATATGGTGCCATTTGGGATTATATAGGGAATATGGGTGCCATTTGGGATTATATAAGGAATATGGTGCCATTTGGGATTATATAAGGAATAGGGTGCCATTTGGGATTATATAGGGAATAGGGTGCCATTTGGGATTATATAAGGAATAGGGTGCCATTTGGGATTATATAGGGAATAGGGTGCCATTTGGGATTATATAGGGAATAGGGTGCCATTTGGGATTATATAGGGAATAGGGTGCCATTTGGGATTATATAGGGAATAGGGTGCCAACCTATATGACTGTTCTGTAACCTACATTACTTTTAAAAACTAATCTACTGTTTACTACAATCATATATACACAGGAAAGAAGATGTACGAGCAACAGAAAAAGACAGGGTATGTTTTTGAATCAATCTAAAGTTCCCCCACTGTTTGACCACCAACATATTTTATATTGTGAAAATATCATGTTTGGTATTATATAGACCCATCCTATACCATCTGTTACTGTTTATCATGACATATCATACCATCTGTTACTGTTTATCATGACATATCATACCATCTGTTACTGTTTATCATGAAATATCATACCATCTGTTACTGTTTATCATGACATATCATACCATCTGTTACTGTTTATCATGACATATCATACCATCTGTTACTGTTTATCATGAAATATCATACCATCTGTTACTGTTTATCATGAAATATCATACCATCTGTTACTGTTTATCATGAAATATCATACCATCCGTTACTGTTTATCGTGAAATATCATACCATCTGTTACTGTCTATCATGACATCATACCATTTTAGCTCATTCTTGAATTGTAATAGACTGGGAACCACTATAACCTTTGAGCTCTGTTCCAGGTGGAGACGTATAAAAGCTTCCGTCCTGGAGACATCGTCCTGGCTAAAGTCGTATCCTTCCATTGACAGTCTTTCCACTTCAGTAACTAGGTAGTAACACAGGGACAGTCAACCAGTGACTGATATTGGGCTGGTTCTATTCCCTTAGTGCAGTGTAGCTTTCACCATATTGCTTAAATGTAAAATTGTAAATGTTAGAGATCAGCTAAACGGACAAATCACCTTGCATCCCAAATAACTACTCATCATGTGATCAAGATGAGGGATTCTGTGCATTTCCAAGTGTTGTCCTTTAACCTCCTGCCCCCCAGATCTCCCTGGGAGACGTCCAGTCCAACTACCTGTTGACCACAGCCGAGAACGAGCTGGGGGTGGTGGTAGCCCACAGTGAAGCAGGTGGTGGTCACTACTACTGCTGTCTACCGGGCCTAACCCCAGAGAAGACAGGTGAGACTGGTCAGTGGCAGACTTACAGAGACTTGGCTGTAATTCTCTTAGCACCTGTAGGTTTTTTCTAGTTCCTTCAAGTTACAATACCTAAACCATTTATTCCAGCTATGAACCTAAATAAGATCTGGTGCAACCAATTACCTTCAGAAGTCACATAATTAGTTAAATAAAGTCCACCTGTGTGCAATCTAAGTGTCACATGATCTGTCACATGTTCTCAGTGTATATATACACTTGTTCTGAGTCTGCAACACCACTAAGCAAGGGGCACCACCAAGCAAGCGGCACCATGGAGACCAAGGAGCTCTCCAAACAGGTCAGGGAGTACAGATCAGGGTTGGGTTATAAAAAAATATCCGAAACTTTGAATATCCCATGGAGCACCATTAAATCCATTATTAAAAAATGGAAAGAATATGGCACCACAACAAACCTGCCAAAAGGGGGCCGCCACCAAAACTCATGGACCAGGCAATGAGGGCATTAATCAGAGAGGCAACAAAGAGACCAAAGATAACCCTGAAGGAGCTGCAAAGCTCCACAGCAGAGATTGAAGTATCTGTCCATAGGACCACTTTAAGCTGTACACTCCACAGAGCTGGGCTTTACAGAAGAGTGGCCAGAAAAAAGCAATTGCTTAAAGAAAAAAATAAGCAAACACGTTTGGTGTTCGCCAAAAGCCATGTGGGAGACTCCTCTTATCACCCAGAGAACACCATCCCCACAGTGAAGCATGGTGGTGGCAGCATCATGCTGTGGGGATGTTTTTCATCGGCAGAGACTGGGAAACTGGTCAGCATTGAAGAAATTATGGATGGTGCTAAATACAGGGATATTATTGAGGGAAACCTGTTTGTCTTCCAGAAATGTGAGACTGGGACGGAGGTTCACCTTCCAGCAGGACAATGACCCTAAGCATAATGCTAAAGCAACACTTGAGTGGTTTAAGGGGAAACATTTAAATGTATTGGAATGGCCTAGTCAAAGCCCAGACCTCAATCCAATTGAGAATCTGTGGTATGACTTAAAGATTGCTGTAATAATAATAATATGCCATTTAGCAGACGCTTTTATCCAAAGCGACTTACAGCGGAACCCATCCAACCTGAAGGAGCTGGAGCAGTTTTACCTTGAAGAATGGGCAAAAATCCCAGTGGCTAGATGTGCCAAGCTTATAGAGACATACCCCAAGAGACTTGCAGCTGTAATTGCTGCAAAAGGTGTCTCTACAAAGTATTGACTTTGGGGGGGTGAATAGTTATGCACGCTCAAGTTCTGTTTTTTTGTCTTATTTGTTGTTTGTTTCACACACAAAAAATATTTTGCATCTTCAAAGTGGTAGGCATGTTGTGTAAATCAAATGATACAAACTCCCCAAAAATCCATTTTCATTCCAGGTTGTAATGCAACAAAATAGGGAAAATGCCAAGGGGGGTGAATACTTTCGCAAGCCACTGTATCTATCAGTAGTATATCTGTGTTTCCCTCCTCTCAGGAGCCCAGATGGTGCCTATCAGCTGGTGTGAGATGCAGTGCCCGCGGACGCATGCCAAAGAGTTCCGCAAGGTGGCCAGGGTGCAACCCGAGTACCTGCAGGCGTGAGCAGGGTCCCCTCACCTCTCCAGTCCCCCCGGGCAGGGGCCCCCTTTCCCTTCCTCATGGAACACACAGCTTCCCTCCTCCCTCCCTCTCTCTCTGACAGAGAGACAAACACACTCACTCACACTTGGAATCTCAACGATGCATTGTGAGTACAAAGGACCAAAATATTGTACAGGTCATGTACAGATGCTTGGACACGAGTACACGGGTCATTGACCTGACGCATACACGCAGCAAACAGCCTTATGTTCAGGGAGGGATACTTCAACAGACACACACACACACACACACACACAGAGCCTTATGTTCAGGGGGGGATTCCTCCCTCTATGACCTACAGCAAGGCAGCATTTTCCCCCTCTTGGTTCTGGAGGGGTACAGTAGAGGTGCAGGATTTTGTTCCAGCCCAGCACTAGGACGGACACCTGATTCAACTGATCACTGGGGCCTTGATTGGCTGAATCAGTCTCGTTAGTGCTGGGCTGGAACAAAAGCCTGCCCTCCCTGTAGCCCTTCAGAACCAGGAATGAATAAATAACCCTGATCTGGGTTACCTTCTGATCCGATACCCTTGTCCCTGAAGTGTGCACTCCTGTATCCCCCATGGATTTACTAGCATATTTCATATACCTTTCCTTTTAAATCCATGAGGGGTAGTGAATGAGTGCACACTTTGGGGGGGGGGGGAAGGGTATAGAATCAGACCACAGCCGTGGGGTGACAGTCACCAGTACAGACAAGCCCAAGTCCAAATTGACCTCTAAACTCTACACTCTAGTGCGTAGGGCTTGATTTGGGATTGGGCCGTAGACGGCTAACACTTGGGATGTCGAAGTAAAGTAAAGCGCTGGAATTGAAACTGTTATTTTGTGGCGCCACTGTTTGACTCATACGACCACGTGGTCCTTTCTGCACCTAGTCAGAGAAATGGACACGTCTTGATGCTTTTCTCTAAGCATTATTCTTTCTTCTGTTGTTTCAAAACAATACTTTTTGTTTCATTTCTTCCTGTACATGTCAGCAGAGGCACGTGTTTTAAGAGTCAAATAAAGTGAATACCAAAGCACATCCTGTAGGAACTACTCAATCTGTTACAATGGAGACAATGTTATTTACCTGTGTTATCACAAAGGTTCATTTTATAAAGAGATTTTTTTATTTTAATGAATGAATTCCTTTATCATATAATAGAGAAACCCAGCTGACCATCGTTCTTAATGGCCATTTGTTGACTGTGTGTAAACAATTCTATGCTGTTTAAATCTGTCTAATTGACAGCTCATCAGCTGCCAGTTTGTCATGTTGAGGCATTAGTTTACAGTACTAGACTATTAGGCTGCTGGTCAAAAGTAGTGCACTATACAGGGAGCCATTTGGGACGCCAACAACATTCTCATATCATACAGCCATGAAGCATTACATCATAATGGACCATTCAGAAGACCAACACAGCTCCGCTCTCATTGATACCACAGGTTGGTAGGTGCAGCTTTCAGTTCCATCAATGTCAGCATTTTTATGTCAAACTTTTTATAGACCAATCAGTCACACTTGGTGCACAGTACTCGTGTATACTGAACAAAAATATAAAATGCAACATGTAGAGTGTTGGTTTCATGAGCTGAAATAAAAGATCCCTGAAATGTTCCATACGCACAAAAAGCTTATTTCTCTCATTGTGCACAAATGTGTACAAATGTGTTTACATCCCTGTTAGTGAGCATTTCTCCTTTGCCAATATAATCTATTCACCTGACAGGTGTGGCATATCAAGAAGCTGATTAAACCGCATGATCATTACACAGGTGCACCTTGTGGTGGGGACAATAAAAGGCCACTCTAAAATGTGCCGTTTTGTCACCACAATGCCACATATATCTCAAGTTTTGAGGGCGCGTGCAATTGGCTTGCTGACTGCAGGAATGTCCACCAGAGCTGTTGCCAGAGAATTGAATGTTCATTTCTCTACCATAAGCCGCCTCATGTAATTTTTTTAGAATTTGGCAGTTCGTCCAACCGGCCTCACAACTGCAGACCACGTGTAACCAAGCCAGCCTAGGACCTCGACATTCGACGTCTTCACCTGCGGGATCGCCTTGAGACCAGCCACCCGGACAGCTGATGAAACTTGAGTATTTCTGTCTGTAATCAAGCTTTTTTTGTGGGGAAAAGCTCATTCTGATTGACTGGGCCTAGCTCCCCAGTGGGTGGGCCTATGCCCTCCCAGGCCCATCCATGGCTGCGCCCCTGCCCAGTCATGTGAAATCCATAGATTAGGGCCTAGTGAATTTATTTCAATTGACTGATTTCCTTATACTCAGTAAAATCGTTGAAATTGTTGCGTTTATATTTTTGTTCAGTATATATATATATATATATACACACCACATTCCCACAGGCACACTCCCACTCCCAATACCCTGCAAGAGAAAAGGTGCACACACACTCATCCAAATCAAGGGTCTGTCCCGACTCAGTCATCAAAGCGCACTGATCGGGTTGCGTTGATGTCGATCGAGAACTTCTTATTGGACGGCGCCGAGAACCCAAGTCCCACCCCCCTTCCCGTGAAGTCCATGCGGCGCGACTGAGCGCGTTCAAACTCCCCCAGGAGGCCTTGCTGCAAGCTCTTCTGTCCGTCTTTCGTCAGCGCCATGTTGGCCCGCCCTCCCGTTGCACCGCTCGCTGCCATTGGCTGCCCGCCCTTCTTGAAGCCGCCCATCAACCGCAGGAACTTATTTTGTTGGTCGGAACTGTCAAACTGGGCGGTGCCCCACTGGCCCAAACTCTGGGGAGAAGAACAATGTAATATTTCTGATTTATAATGTAATGTTTATATTAGACATAATGATTGTAATATTTATGATTTATAATGTAATGTTTATATTAGACAATGTTTTGTAACAGAGAAGAGTTGGTATGCGTCCCAAATTTGGGATACACCTTGGTGTCCTGACATCATAAGAGTACTGACCGATGGTACCGGTGCTGCTTTGAGTTGGACTGGGTTGGACTCCTTGTCGATCTCATTCTGCAGGGCCAGGCGTCTCCCCTATGGAATATAATAGGACCATCATTTTATATGAAGGCCGTGTTATATAGTACACAACATATACTCTATAGTCCATGTTATATAGTACACAATATATACTCTTATAGTCCATGTTATATAGTACACAATATATACTCCATTGTCCATGTCATAGTCTATAACATGTGGTTGGTGATTCTCTTTACTGTACTCCTAGTTTTTTTTTTAAAGACTCAAATCCATGTGTGCTTCAAAGGCTGCGTTTACACAGGCCACCCATCTGATTTTTTGCCCAATTATTGGCAAAAGATCTGATCTGATTATTGGCAAACGAGCAGAATCACTTTGCAATCACTTGGGAGTATCCCTGACACAGACCAATGGTATTACTTAATCAGTATAGAGCATTTATATTGGTTGGTGTGTGTCCAGCATGTTTGACTGCAGCATTGTGTTAATCAATGACAACAGCATTCACTAATAAGCATTTGTATAATATAATGCATTCATATTTTATTCAGAAATAGTTACAAAATCAATATACAATGTTTAATTCAGACCAGGAAGAAATTACTTTTCTCTTTCTCACAGTGATAGAGGGATGGAATGGAGACTTGGATTGGTGGACTGGACAGTGGAATCAAATAGATCCAAATAGATCTAAAGGGTTGTTAGCGATCTACCTGATCAATATTGATCTCGAAGGCGTTTCCCCTGGTCTCTGACAGGAAGACCACATCCTTCTGGTCCCTCTGGGGGTTGGAGCAAAACAACAAAGTATCAGACAACTGCAGACATTCAAACAAATAGTAATACTGTCCCTGTTTTAATACCTTTAACTGTAAAATATAAAGTAAGAAAGTCAACACTTTAAATTGTTGGGAGCATATTAGTTTTACAGTTTACTATTCTGTTAGTCAGCACCTCCAGCATTTTTGGGTGTTGGTCAGCGCATGCTTTTTACAATACTTTCAACAAGGACACCCCTTTCAAATGGCTCTAGAATCAGGGTCACCTTCAGTAGGCAATCATTGTGAACCGTTTCAGATAGAAATGTCATGAATAGAGCCGACATGATTCCTCATTCTACATATCAGAGAGACATGTTTGTTCTACATCACATATTTCTATCTGAACGTTCCACAACGTTGTACCCTGCTGAAGGAGCCCCATGATTTGATAACCTCTTAACCTCTGACCCTTAACCTCTGACCCACCTCCTGGTCTTCAGGGGCGCAGCTCTCCACCTTTATCTTCTTTTTCCCTTTCCCCTTCTCCGGAGTCTCTCCTTTCTTCTTCCCTTTCTTGTGAAGGGTGCTGTCCTCCATTTCCGTCTCTACCTCAGACGAGCTCTTCTTCACCTTCTTTTTCTTTCCCTCGCTCTCTCTGTCCTCCGCCTGTTCCTCTCCTCCTTTCGTATCCACCTTTTTCCTTTTCTTCCGTTTGGGCTTCCCCTCGTCCACCGCGATCACATCCTCCTCCTCTGTTGGTGCAGAGGCCTTTCTCTCCTTCTTCATCTTGCTCTCCTCCTTTCCTTCCGTCTCAGTGTCTATGGTGTTGTCTGCAGCGCTGCTGGTGGACTTGGGCTTCTTCTTCTTCTTCTTGGTGTTATTCTGTTCCTCCTCCTCCCGTACTGCTACTGTAGCCTCAGCCGATGCTCCCTTCTTCTTCTTCTTCTTTACTACCATTTCTTTCTCTGCCTCTCCGCTCCCTTTCTCTTTTGTCTCTCCTTTCTTCTTACCCTTCTTCTTCGTCTCCCCCTCTTCTTCCTCCTGACTCCCCTCAGTTGGTTCAGCAGCTTTAGGGATCTTTTTCACTTCTTTCCTTTCTTCCTCTGTTTTTCCCTTCTTTTTCTTGCCTTTCTTCATTACTACCACCTCTCCTTCCTCTACCTGGACAACGCTGACCTCCGTCTCTTCTGCCGGAGAGAGCTTCTTCTTTTTTTTCAGCTTCTGCCCATTTTCCACTCCTCCTTTCTCCTCCTTTAATTCACTCTGTTCTGCCTCGTCCTCCGTTTTAACAGTGTTAGCACCTTTCTGCTTTTTCTTCTTCTGTCCGCTCCCTCCATCATTTCCGTTAGTCATGGCTTCCTCACCGTTGGTGTCAGTCCCAGACCCCGCCAACAACTTCTTCTTCTTCTTTACTTTCCTTTTCTCCTGCTCTCCTTCCGTATTCCCTCCATCCCCATTGGAAGACACCTGCTCTTCTTCTACCGGAGTCTCTGCTTTCTTCTTCTTTTTCCTCTTCACTCCTTCGTTATTCCCCAGGTTTACGGAAGTGTTTTCTGAGATCTCTTCCTCAGTGTGGGTGTCCTTCCCACTGTTCTTGTTCTTCTTCTTCATGGTAACCATCTTGTTGCCAGTGTCGGCTCGGACCATCTGAGAAAAACAAACATCCCACAATATTATTACTGTTAAAAAGGAAGCAGTCACTTCAAAGGACATAGTAGAGAATGCATTTTAGGTTTAAAGTGAACACAGTATTGATATTGGGTCCCCTAAATGGCACCCTATTTTCTATATAGTGCCCTACTTCTGACCTGATGTGTCCTGGTTCAAAAGTGGTGCACTAAATAGGGGATAGGATTTTGGACGAAGCCAGTGTCATTTTGGAGAGCAACACAGAACCAGATACAAACCAGTGATCTGACTGATACCGTGGGCTGGGATTCCTTGTCTATCTCCCTCTGTAGGGCCAGACGTTGAGCCTACAGAGGATAAAGCCTGGATTATGAACTAACAGTACACTTTTACAGTAGCTGTTGGCTACAGTACTATGTTTCATATGTTGTCTATTCAAATTAGCAGCCAATCTCAGCACATGTGGAGGAAGGTGTCTAAAATCAGTGATTCGCATACACTGACTGGTGATCAATTGATGATTGTTGATGTGAATTTATCAACGAATGATCAATTGATGGCGGGATTTATTTTATGGTGATCTCATCTAACGTTAGCTACCTGATCAATAAAGATCTTCTCAGCGGTGTTGTATCTTCCGGTCTTCTCAGACACGAAAACCACTTCGTCATGAAAAGCCGTCTGCAGAATCAAACACAGCCAGTTCAGCTAACGCAGGTAAGGTATACAAAACAATAACATGTTACCAGTCTACTTGCCTAGGTTATAATGTAGTTTACTAAAGAACTTGATCAGTGTAAATCAAGTTATGCTAGCAAGAAGCATCGATTGAATGTGTGCGTGGTGTTAGCGTTTGCTTGCTATGTTAGCTGGCCAAATAACTGTCACCGGTGATAAAACACTTTGCAACGGGTGAACACAGCAATTCGCTCTGGAAAACTACTTGAACGTTTCATGATTCAATATTTAGAAATAACGGCATTAAAGTTTACTTACTTTGAAGACTCACGTGGAAACCTGTGTACACCAGTGCTGTATAGTGCTTCTTGACCCGGAAATACTGTCAGATTCCCTTCCATAGTAATCGTCCTCATGCGTCCCTAGCAACAAACATCCACGGCACGCCCCCTGACCTATTTCAGGACCCTCTTTCAAAGATAATTAGTAAAAATCAAAATAACTTCACAGATCTTCATTGTAATGGGTTTAAAACACAGGTCCTCTGTAGCTCAATTGGTAGAGCATGGCGCTTGTAACGCCAGGGTAGTGGGTTCGATCCCCGGGACCACCCATACATAAAATGTATGCACACATGACTGTAAGTCGCTTTGGATAAAAGCGTCTGTGAATGGCATATTATTATTATTATTGTTCAATGAACCATAAACAATTAATGAACATGCACCTGTGGAACGTCATTAAGACACTAACAGCTTACAGATGGTAGGCAATTAAGGTCACAGTTATGAAAATGTAGGACACTAGAGGCCTTTCTACTGACTCTGAAAAACACCAAAAGAAAGATGCCCAGGGTCCCTGCTCATCTGCGTGAACGTGCCTTAGGCATGCTGCAAGGAGGCATGAGGACTGCAGATGTGGCCAGGGCAATAAATTGCAATGTCCGTACTGTGAGACGCCGAAGACAGCGCTACAGGAAGACAGGAGGGACAGCTGATCGTCCTCGCAGTGGCAGACCACGTGTAACAACACCTGCACAGGATCGGTACATCCGAACATCACACCTGTGGGACAGGTACAGGATGGCAACAACAACTGCCCGAGTTACACCAGGAACGCACAATCCCTCCATCAGTGCTCAGACTGTCCACAATAGGCTGAGAGAGGCTGGACTGAGGGCTTGTAGGCCTGTTGTAAGGCAGGTCCTCACCAGACATCACCGGCAACAACGTCGCCTATGGGCACAAACCCACCGTCGCTGGACCAGACAGGACTGGCAAAAAGTGCTCTTTACTGACAAGTCACGGTTTTGTCTCACCAGGGGTGATGGTCGGATTCGCGTTTATCGTCGAAGGAATGAGCGTTACACCAAGGCCTGTACTCTGGAGCGGGATCGATTTGGAGGTGGAGGGTCCGTCATGGTCTGGGGCGGTGTGTCACAGCATCATCGGACTGAGCTTGTTGTCATTGCAGGCAATCTCAAAGCTGTGCGTTACAGGGAAGACATCCTCCTCCCTCATGTGGTACCCTTCATGCAGGCTCATCCTGACATGACCCTCCAGCATGACAATGCCACCAGCCATACTGCTCGTTCTGTGTGTGATTTCCTGCAAGACAGGAATGTCAGTGTTCTACCATAGCCGGTGAAGAGCCCGGATCTCAATCCCATTGAGCACGTTTGGGACCTGTTGGATCGGAGGTTGAGGGCTTGGGCCATTCCCCCCAGAAATGTCTGGGAACTTGCAGGTGCCTTGGTGGAAGAGTGGGGTAACATCTCACAGCAAGAACTGGCAAATCTAGTGTATCCATGAGGAGGAGATGCACTGCAGTATTTAATGCAGCTGGTAGCCACACCAGATATTGACTGTTACTTTTGATTTTGACCCCCCCTTTGTTCAGGGACACATTATTCAATTTATGTTAGTCACATGTCTGTGGAACTTGTTCAGTTTATGTCTCAGTTGTTGAATCTTGTTATGTTCATACAAATATTTACACATCAAAATGAAAATAAATGCTTACTTACTTTATCATGTTCTTCTTATTTCTTATTTAGTGTGTGTTTTTGTTCTACCTTGTTATTCTCAGTATTATATTGTTATTGATTACTGCATTGTTGGGGTTAGAGCCGGGCAAGAAAGGTATTTCACTGTCCTGTGACATTGAAACTTGAAACTTATCTCTAGCTTTATGGAACCGAAATAGACTCTGCAACCAACAGCAGAGGGCGTTAGGGTGCTGTAACCTAGCTGTTACTATGGCTACGTCCCGTATGGCACCCTATTCCCTATATAGTGCACTACTTTAGACCATAGGGCTGTGGTCAAAAGTAGTGCACTACATAGGGAATAGGGTGCCATTTAGGATGCTAAAGTAGCTAAGCCTGTAGCTTATTAGAACTGTCAGCTCACGACAGTCACTTACCATGCCAGTGGCTTTTACCAAAGATAGATAGAAGCCCTAAGCCTACATGTAGGTTTGGAACCTTTTCTGTTTTGTACTTTGAATGCTACGTACTGTTGCCAAGACAACAAGGTCGCTGCAAGGTATATCATGTTAAAATGCAAACAACCTGTCATTTTAGATAGAAGCAAAATAAACCTGCCAACCAGTTTAATATAGAAACGGTTCCGCCTTCAGATTTGCATGCTCCAAAGCCTTCTACAGACACCTCAATAGTGCGTTGATCCAAACAGTTTAATCTATAGACAATATTTTATTTCATTGAGTTTGTGTGAGAATTGTGTTTAGGAGACAACCAACCAAGCCCTCCTCTGTATCAACACATAGGATGATAATATAATAGCCTTATACAGGAGTACACGACTGGTCACAGTAAAGCCACTAATACCAATCCCCCCTATCAGTTTCCCTAAATGGGTTAGTCCAAGGTTAGAGCACCATAGGGATTAAGAGGCAGCCGATTAGTCCAATCAAGGACAAGGAGTTTTGGGAGATAAAACACAGAAAGAGCAAAGAAGAAGTCTCTGAAATATATCATGTTAGTGTGAGGTACAGATCGTACCATTAATTAATATACTGTCTAGTCTGCCATATAATCATACTGATATTGCACTCCCTGTTAAAAACTCTCCAAATGTGTTACAACAACCCCATACCAAAACTACTGATATCATAGAACCACACCAAAAATAGAGTACCTATTTTGTGACACCAATAATACATTCAATTTCACCATCATAACATTCATCATAGAAATATGCCACACAAACGTTATATCTCAAATAGTGACAGCAGAGATTAACTTAATAAAGTGCTTAATCACAACAACTCTGGTAGACCAAACACAAAACTTAAGAGTCTTAGAAAATACACTGTTTATGTGTCCCTACATATCTAAATAGTCATAATCATCATCGATAGGAGCAACTCTCGTGGGCTACATCCCAAATAGCACCCCATTCCCTACATAGTGCACTACTTTTGATCAGAGCCCTATGGTCCCTGGTCAAAAGTAGTGCACTAAATAGGAAATAGGGTGCCATTTCAGACACAGCTCACAGTCTGTAGAGAACATGAGTGGGCAGGCGAGGTTAGTGAGCATGGTGGATGGATGGAATTTACATAAATACTGAATGCCTCCCGAATGGAACCCTATTCCTTATATAATGCACTACTTTTAACCAGAACCAGGACATAGGGCTCTGGCGACAGTAGTGCACTTTATAGGCAATAGGGTTCCATTTGGGACGTGGCCACTGTTCTCCTGTACCTGGTGTGTCATATATGCCCCCCCCCCCCCTTTTTTAAAACAACAAAACAGAAAAGCTAAAATATTCCAACACATTAGTATCTGTCCCAAATGGAACCCTATTCCTATGTAGTGCACTACTTTTGACCAGAGCCGGTGCCATTTGGGACGCAACCAATAACTGTTCACTGAGCGAGCTTGACGTTCATCATCGTCATTGGGGATATATTCCAGTCTGCATGGCTTAGGAAGGGCAGGCAATGTCTTTGTTACCCGTCTCTGAATCTTGTGCAGTCAAACCAGGAGTGACATTTCTTGTGAGCACTGATCTCAAATCAGTTTTTCCCTTTGCCTCTCAATGACCAAAGTGTATAAAAAGGTAGGGTGAGCTGATCCTAGATCTGTGGCTGGGGGTAACTTGCTTGTTGCAGTGCTTTGTACAGACAATGGTGAGGTGAGGTAGAGGCATTGATGGGGTTATGAGTGACATTTGGAAACATTCCGGAGCATTCCGGAACCATAATATGCCGTGTTGCCGTGGAGACTGGTTCCAAGGTTCCCCTCTCACCACAGTTGTCTCCCTGTGTAGTTCACCGGAGCAGAAGGCATCTGTTACAGACAGACAAGTGGTTAGTGTGTGTGTATATGTGTGTATGTGTCAAATAAAATAAAATAAAATATTATTTGTCACATGCGCCCAATACAACAAGTGTAAACTTTACCGTGAAATGCTGACTTACAAGCCCTTTCCCAACAATGCAGTTAAAAAGTAAGAACATTTGCAAATAGATAAAAAGAAAACAGTAACACAATAAAAAACAATAGCAACGCTATATACAGGCTATATACAAGGAATACTGGTACCGAGTCAGTGTACTGGGGTAAGAGGTAGTTGAGGTAATATGTAATAATATAAGATAATATAATTAAGCAATAATGTACGAGGAGGTGTGGTATATGGCCAATATACCACGGCTAAGGGCTGTTCTTACGCACGACGCAACGTGGAGTGCCTGGATACAGCCCTTAGCCGTGGTAAATTGGCCATATATCACAACCCCCTGAGGTTCCTTATTGCTATTATAAACTGGTTACCAACATAATTAGAGCAGTAAAAATAAATGTTTTGTCATACCCGTGGTATAAGGTCTGATATACCACGGCTTTCAGCCAATCAGCACTCAGGGCTCTAACCAATAATTTAATATGTACATGGGTGCTTGTGCGTTTGTGTGTGTGAGATAAGACACACTGACCGTTCCTCCGTTCATGACCAGGGCCATCTCAGTGGGCTGGTACATGTGGCCTCTGAAGGGGATCCCAGGACGCATCCCCCCGTGTCCGTTATGGTACGACCCACCTCTCAGTGCTGAGACACCACCCAGGGAGAGAGCAAACACAAATAAAGGGAGTGTTACTAGCCAGGTTTCACTGTACAATAATAATAGTTTTTTTTTTTTCTGTAGACAATCCTTCTATTTAGACTTAAACCTTTTTGCATGTACACAATATTTGCATAAACCCACACATAGCCTTTCACACAACCAACACACACACACACACACACACACACACACAGTATACCTGCGCTGTGCTCCTCGATAGAGTAGGCCTGGTTATCTGCGTAGGGCCTGTGTGTAAGTGTGTGTGTAGGTAATGGCACCTCCTGTTGGAAGCAGGGCTGCAGGGGCTGACTGGTATCAAAGTAGTCGTGCTGGCTGGGGGCTGGCGGGTCCCTCAGACACAGGTGGGCTTCTGGGATAGCGTGAAATAACAGGAGGATCCAGCCTTGTGCCACCAAGGCAACCGCCAACACCGGCTCATCCCAGTCCGGTCGCCGCCCTCCCCCGCCACCCGACCGCGCCCCCCTCAACGCAGCGTCGCCATAGAGATAGAGCACAAGCCAAGAGACCCATAGCAACAGGGACGCCAGGCAGGACAGGAAGAGCCATACGGCGTTACACTTCCAACGACGCTCGCACCCTCCGTCGCTCCCCTCCTCTGCCTCGTCCTCTCCCCCGTCCCCTCCACACAGCACCACAGCCAGGGAGAGGCCCAGCGCGGTCAGGAGCAGCCCCAGGGCGTAGCTGCAAACCAGGGCAAAGTCTAACGGTGGGTAGTCGCAGGCCCCGTGGCCCTCCCTCACCACTGTCAGCAGCAGCCACTCTCCAGAGATGATCCCCTGGACCAGGGCCAGGATCACGCCAAGCCCAGCCAGGGAGCTCCCTTTGGGGCTAGACTTTCCAGACACCAGCCTCTTCAACCGCACCACCTGGGCCAGGAGGCAGGAGAAGCACAGGGCGAACAGCGGGCCCCAGAGGACCCGGCGGACCACACACAGGGTCTCAGTACGCCCCACCAGGAAGGCCAGGGACAGGGTGAAGAGAGCTAGGAGGGAGGCCAGCAGGAGGAGAAGAGGCCCCAGGCCAGAGCGCCGATCTGGGTCAAGGACGGAGTGACGCTTGGCTAGGAGAACCACGGAGAGGACCAGGGAGGTGATGGCTCCACCACAGGCCACGGCCTCCAACACCACCCCCCACACAGACTCCAGGTCACACAGCGTCCGGTAGACGGGGTCCACATTCACACCGCAACCCAGAGGAGGGGGAGGGGCCAGGCCGGGGTCGATGATGTCATCCTGGGAGTGGCCGCAGCCAATCAGAGAGAGGAGGAAGAGGAGGACGGGACTGAGGGCCATCTGAGAGAGAGAGAGAGAGAGAGAGAGAGAGAGAGAGAGAGAGAGAGAGAGAGAGAGAACGAAAACGTTGTTACTGAATCATGTCCAGAACACAGCACCAAAATGGCCTGTCTCTTGCTATCACTTGTTTAGTCATTGTATTATTCAGTACAGGAGCATAACAGACTGTTGAATGAGTTCCTGTTAGAGGGAACTAACTGTTCCTGGTACATCTTTCATTTCACAAATATATAATTATTATGTAATGTCCTTTCTCCATCTTGGAAGCTCATGTACACACACACACACACACACACAGCACAGCCCTCAGCAGCCCACTCAGCCTGAGCCAGCCAGGGCCACGGTTCCCATAGTAACGAGCAGCCAAGTGGGTTGGCCTATATAAATGTAACGCTGGGTTCTCACAACACAGGCTGAGTGACAAGTATACATACACACACACACACACACACACACAGTTCAACATTGGAAGACAACAGAAAATGCTTTCTTTTGTTAAAAAGGTATCATGGTGCGGGGCGGGGCTACAGATAGGGGCTATTAAAAAGTTGTAATTAAGCTATCAGTCTTTACATTTGACACCAAAAACAGCAATAATCCATACACTTACTATGTATATTAATCATTGAAATATTCATTTGAACCATTTTCAATTATGGTGAACTGAACTCACCTTGAGAGCTTAGTTGAGTGTTCCGTTAGGTTACTTGATAACTTTTATGACTTCAAAAAAGGAGAGAAGTCACATCTCTAGTCCCACATAGTCGATATCCAAACCGCATAATTCATCTTGGGTCCTTTTTTAGTTTGACGATGTTTGTTCAGCAGGCTAATTTAAGATCTTCTTCATTTACAGGCGAGGACAAGGTGACCGTTATCTGACGTGTTGACGTGCTGTAGCACAGCGGATCGTACGCTCACCATAAATAACGGACTTTATAAAAGGTGAGTCACTTCTACTCATAGACTATTCCGTTTGTATTCCATCCGGTCCCCGGTGGCGCGAGCTGTGGCGGTTATTAGGTCCGTTAAAATCACTCCCTCTGGCGGCATCTCTCTGGTGCGTTTCCGTTATTTTCCAATGGTATCACGTTATATCACATCATTGTTTTGGCAATCCTATAGCGCGCTATGAGTACTCCAAAAAAGTGTCAGGTGCAAGCTTGACTTCACTCCTCCACATAGTCAAATATAACAAACCTGACTAAAAGTTCTCTCTGTCTTTCTCTCTCTCTCCCTTTCTCTCTCTCTCTCTCTCTCTCTCTCTCTCTCTCTCTCTCTCTCTCTCTCTATACATTTGCGGGGGATGTAAACAGCAACTTGGTTGCAGCTGTCGGCTTGAGGCACTCACAGGGATGCTGCAATGCTACTTCCAAGCAAGCACTGCTCTCCTCTGCTCACCCACTGTCAGAAGTGCATTAACACCGCTCTGGTCTTCCTCCATACAGAGGTCAACAGTTCAGTATCCAGAGATTTCTCAACTTCTATCAATTCAGTATCCAGAGATTCCTCAACTTCTATCACTTTCACAATGCAATAATAAAGTATATAATCAGACCGGTCTTTAATGTTGGTTCCTTCCAACTGCAGAAGCCTTCGGCATTTAATGATTTACATTTTACATGTTAGTCATTTAGCAGACGCTCTTATCCAGAGCGATTTACAGGAGTAATTAGGGTTAAGTGACTTGCTCAAGGGCACATCGACAGATTTTTTCACCTAGTCATCTCGGGGTATTCGAACCAACAACCCTTTGGTTGCTGGTCCAACGCTCTTAACTGCTAGGCTACCTGCCGCCCCCAAATACATTCAATCAATTAATCAACGGTTTACGATCCCATATGAATAGATGAATAATCCATCCCACGTTCTCTTCCTCTTCCGCCTTCTGTCTCCTCCTGGCAGAAGGTTTCAAGGACAAGTTACAACACAGGCTGGCCAAGCACAGCAAAGGTAGTACACTATATAGGGAATAGGGTGCACGGTAAAGCCTCTTAGCAGAGACCTATAAACAGAGACCTATATTCAACGCAATGTGAAACATCTTCAGAAGAATACAATCAAAGGGTAAAACCAGAAGGCAGCTATAGCAGGTATGCTGACCATAGAGGAGTCCTAAACACAGGTGAGTGTCAGGTCCACGTAAGCGCTGTCTCCTTAGTTTAGTGAGTGGTTAATTCCCAAATGGCACCCTATTCCCTGTGTAGTGCACTACTTTAAACCAGAGCCATATGGGCCCTAGTGCACTACATAGGGAATAGGGTGCCATTTGGGACTGAGACAACATGTTATTTAACAGTGAAACGCCATGACTCAGCCTGCTGCTTTCTCCTTATACTGACATGGGGGTAATCCCCACTCTGTGACAGTGTGTGTGTGTGTGTGTGTGTGTGTGTGTGTGTGTGTGTGTGTGTGTGTGTGAATTACATTACACGGACTGGGGGGATCTGATCCTAGATCAGCACTCCTACTCTGAGAAGCTTGATTAGTCCAGACCCTGTACTGTACTGATTAGTCCAGACCCTGTACTGTACTGAGAGAGTAGGACAGACCCTGTACTGTACTGAGAGAGTAGGACAGACCCTGTACTGTACTGAGAGAGTAGGACAGACCCTGTACTGTACTGAGAGAGTAGGACAGACCCTGTACTGTACTGATTAGAACAGACCCTGTACTGTACTGAGAGAGTAGGACAGACCCTGTACTGTACTGAGACAGTAGGACAGACCCTGTACTGTACTGAGAGAGTAGGACAGACCCTGTACTGTACTGAGAGAGTAGGACAGACCCTGTACTGTACTGAGAGAGTAGGACAGACCCTGTACTGTACTGAGACAGTAGGACAGACCCTGTACTGTACTGAGAGAGTAGGACAGACCCTGTACTGTACTGAGAGAGTAGGACAGACCCTGTACTGTACTGAGAGAGTAGGACAGACCCTGTACTGTACTGAGAGAGTAGGACAGACCCTGTACTGTACTGAGAGAGTAGTTAAAAGCAGTGGTCTTAGTGAATAGACAGTAGAGTTCTTAATAGATGCCAGTAATAGAGGCTAAACATAGAAGGTTCATGACATCATCTCCAGTAGCACACAGACACACACACGCACACGCACACACACGCACACACACAGACACACACACGCACACACACGCACACACACAGACACAGACACACACACGCACACACACAGACACAGACACACACACGCACACACAAGCACACGCACACACAAGCACACGCACATGCACACACACACGCGTCAGCAGTGCAGATTAGTGTGTCTAATAATGTGTCAACTTGCCTGGTAACAACATGATGACCTGAATGAATGGGGCCAGTGACGGACCACATATTGTCCCAGGTATTTCTAACACACCGGCCCATTTTGTTCCTCTGGGCCCCCACACCTGGCCTTTTTTTCCCTTCAAGCACCCATTATTAGCCAAATAATGGTCATTCTGCAGACGAAGAAAAAACTATCCAGACTGGCCCACTAGGCTACAGATGGAGAGGGAGAGAGGGAGAGAGAGAGGGAGAGAGAGAGAATAATGTATATAAAGTGTTGGCTTGGTGATTACCTCGTCATTACCCTGCGGTTGCGAAGTACAGGACATCCCGTACTCATCCTTTCCCCCTCCCTCCATCCCTTCTTTTCTCCCTCCATTTCATTCCATTCATCCACTCTTTCTCCTGTGTCTTTTTTGTAAAGCTGGGAGGTTGAGGTTTTGGTTGAGCTCACGCCAGTACACACAGACAGTACAGTAGGTGTGCGTGTGTAGAGGGGCTAAATAGCTTTGACATTACTCTAGGTCAAAGGTCATTGTGGGTCATTCTGAGGTCATCCTCTCCTCTCTGACCTCTCCTTAACCACTTACTTACTAGTGATTGGCTGATTGGATGGTTTTGGGGAACTTATGTTAATTTATAACATGTTGCAGTTTTCAGATGTTAAAGTAACTTGTAAACAGTTAATACAGGAAGTGATTTATTTGTCCATATACATTACTCTCTCCCTCTCTCTCTATATATATCTATTTCTCGCCATCCATTCCTCTCTCTCTCTCTCGCTCTCTCTCGCTCTCGCTCTCGCTCTCGCTCTCGCTCTCGCTCTCTCTCTCTCTCTGCTCCTTCCTTCTCTCTTTCTCTGTCTCTCTCTCTCTCTCTCTCTCTCTCTCTCTCTCTCTCTCTCTCTCCTCTCTCTCTCTCTCTCTCTCTCTCTCTCTCTCTCTCTCTCTCTCTCTCTCTCTCCAGCTAGAGAACCTCTCAGCACCATATAGATCAAGGCCCGTATTCCAAAAAGCACTGATGATCTAGGATCAGTTTTGAATACAGGCTCAGATCAGCCTAGTCCAATCCACTTACATCATTAACACCACTAAAGGTGGTTTGGAGGTGGTGTGGTTCATGTGAAATAGCACCACCATGTGGAATGTGTGAGTTTCTAAAATAAATACAATTACATTTCCCAGACGCTCTTATCCAGAGCGACTTACAGTTAGTGAGTTCATACATTATTATTATTTATTTTATTTTATTTTTTCCATACTGGCCCCCCGTGGGAATCAAACCCACAACCCTGGCGTTGCAAGCGGTCGCGGCCGGCTACGACAGAGCCTGGATTTGAACCAGGATCTCTAGTGGCACAGCTAGCACTGCGATGCAGTGCCTTAGACCACTGTGCCACTCGGGAGTTATGACCATTATCATCTCAAAAGTCAAAGTTATGTCATTCATCAATCATTAAAGCAAACAACCAATCAAACTCCTGAGTGGCGCAGTGGTCTAAGGCACTGCATCGCAGTGCTAACTGTGCCACTAGAGATCCTGGTTCGAATCCAGGCTCTGTCGCAGCCGGCCGCGACCGGGAGACTCATGGGCGGCGCACAATTGGCCCAGGGTAGGGGAGGGAATGGCCGGCAGGGATGTAGCTCAGTTGATAGAGCATGGCGTTTGCAACGCCAGGGTTGTGGGTTTGATTCCCACGGGGGGCCAGTATAAAAAAATATATATATATGTATTCACTAACTGTAAGTCGCTCTGGATAAGAGTGTCTGCTAAATGACTAAAATGTAAATGTAATCAACAAACTTTACCGTTATTCACTGCAAAGAACAATACTTTTTGTTTAAATCCATTTAATTGAAAAACTTCATTACAATCAGTATAAAAACCTACTAGACGTGGTCTTTGTACTGTACATTTGTATGGCTATCTATTATTTAACCTCTTCCCCCTAATTAGGGGCAGGCTGGCATTTATTGTCATGAATCTTGCCCTGGAGGCAGTTCTGCAGAGTGGTCACTAGCTGGCACAGCTACAAAGTCATCAAATCAGATTTTTAACCCTAACCTTAACCACACTGCTAACCATAATGCCTAACCCTAACCTTAACAACACTGTTAACCATAATGCCTAACCCTAACCTTAAATTAAGACCAAACATTTAATTTTTATGATATAGTCAATGTTGACTATAATAACACCCTGTCACACATTCACATTCACAGTAGACGTAGATGAAAAGCTGGTGCTGCAGTAGTCATTTCAGCGACAGACAGAAGCCCACTGTCTTTCAAATCCTGGTGCATTCAACTGGTTTAGCAGTTTCCCTAAGATGATCTACTGGAATAGATTCCTATAGGTAAGGATCACTTTGTGGCAGAAGTGTCTGTGGGCCGAGGTTGGGCTAGTTGTGGATGTGTGATCAGTTTGTTGCAGGTGTCTGGTCCAGGTCTGTTCACATGCGTCTGTAGACGTGGATCACTGTCTTGCAGTTGGGGCAGCGGTGCTCTACGTCCTTACAGGAGTCAACACAGAACGGAATGCAAGAGCATATCATGCACCTAGAGGAGAAAGAGAGAGAGAGAGAATATTCAGCGTGTGTATCAATCTGTATGCAAGTGTGTGTGAGAGAAAAAAGCTAAAAATACTGTGTGTGTGTGTGTGTGAGTGTGTGTGTGCGTCAATGTGCATGTGTGTGTCTGCCCATGTGTGTGTGTCAACCAGGGGTGGTGTGTTTAATAGGGCGATATGGGCGACGCACTGCCAAACGGGAAAAGGAAGGGATTTTTTTTCTAATCAATTATATCACGGCAACAGTAGTTATCAGTGTTGTAATCTAGACGTCTGATCTGCCACAGTGCCACTAAATGTCCAATCAGGCTAAAGTCGTGCTTCAAATGGCCCCCCCCCCCCTTTTGGGGCGATTTCAGTCAGGTTGAAAATCGCCCAGAAGTCTGTC